GTTTATGTTCTGTTGGTAGGCATTTTTTCCATTTTTGGTGCTAGAACGAGGCAAGTCCAAATTAAAAGTGTTAAAATTTCATGTATTTTGAAAGTATATTATTATTTGAATAAGTATGCGCTAATTGATAGCTAAGAAGAATATAATGTAAAATAAATAAACTTTCTGAAACAAAATTTGAAAACGGGGGAAAGTTTTTTTCGTTTATCTCAGAAACATAAAATGTGGACTTGCCTCTTTCTTGCAGCAATGTCTTCAATTGATTTCAACGATACGATTGTATTTATTTTTTCATTATTTTAATTAGTAACAAAATTTAAGCTGAGACAATTGAAATATTAATGAAAAGGCTGTGATTTAATCCGCGAAGAATATTTTCTCTTTTGAGAGAACATTGTTACATAACGTTAAATATTTTTAACATTTGTTAAATACTGTTAATATAAACTTTTCTAGGATTTCTTATTTTAAATCAATTAGTGCCTGAATCTTTCTTAGTCATGAATGAATTTCACATCTGACCAAGAAAGATGCTCGCTCGAATGGCTGGTATCACGCGTGTTGAGAAACTGCCCTACGCCATGCAAACTTTGCCAAGCGACAACCGAAGCCAATCATCGGGAGAGAATCATCGAGGGATTTTAACTTCGAAATAATTGACGCCGTACTTTAAGATTTGAGAAACTTGTTGCTTCTCCTTTATAAAAGGTTCGCGATTCGCTTGTACGTTGTTTTGTAAAATAAAGTTTGATCGCTATTTTTATCATATCTGTCGCTGAAACGCATGGATCTTAACAAAGCGGCTGGGCATTAACGCCACTCTTGTTCACATACCTTTTTCAAGTATACGACCAGCCACAGGGCAGCACGGATCTCTCATCACCCGAAGACTGCACAGTCCGGCGTTTACGATTCTGACTTTTCTAATAGATCTCTAGTTACGTAGATTCTCGTAAGCAGTAAGAATCACACGTAGCGATTTTATATTAAAATTTTAGCATTTTTCGTAAAGTCACATTGTGCTTCTGCGTCACCGTAGCCCGCGCGACGAGAGCGTCGCTGAATACAGGTTCGTCGGGAAGATGCCACGCGGTTCTCACAGGTATTTTCTTCATTGCAATACAGAGAAGCATGAACATCAATCCGGCAAACCTTCCAGCCAGTCCTACATCGAAGGCACCCCGAAAGTTCCCCGCGACTTTCGTAAGCCTTTGGCTCCGTCGAATCTTCCCATTACTCACCCTCGAACGCGACGAGCTGCTACGTTTTATTAACCGATCAACTTTGAAGTTTCAGGTTTTTACGCGACAACTCCGCAGCTGGATCTGTTGCAATTCTGCAAGGGCTTCGAGACCGAGAGCAGTAATAGGGACTTCGGCCAGGACTGCCCGTCCATGTCAAGATCAATCAATTATTATCCTCAATATTATCCTACCGGCCGCGTGAGAAATACCTCCTATCACCCGAAGGGCACGTCCACCGACAACAAGCCCTACGGTTGTCCCAAGTGCGGCCGCTGTTTCACTGTCAAGGGCAATATGACCAGGCATTACAAGTTCGAGTGCGGTCAGGAGCCGCGCTTCCAGTGTCCCTATTGCGAGTTCCGCAGCAAGCAGACGTCTAACGTGATGTCTCACATCAGAACCAGGCATTCCGGTCAGAAGGTCTACGTGGTGCACCTCAAATATGAGGACAAATAAGAGAGAAGGACGGTCGTGTGGGACGTTGCAATTTCGCATGATTTCGGCTCGATTTGGAACGAGCGGGGAACCGCACTCGTGCGAACGGAATGAGTCATTTGGGAATTTTGAATTTTCCCCGGACAGCTTTTGTGTGCACCTAGAAAAACGATTTATTCAGGTGACAACACATGAGATACGTTGAAATCATATTTCGTCGAATTTGTTAAAGTTTTCTTTACCTCCGCTAAAACATTTGCTAGATTTGAAGAAACAGATATGAATTCTCTTAGAGATCCCAGTCTCTATCGAATAAAATTTTGGTTAAGGTAAAGAAATAATTTCTTTGAAATTAAATAAAAGTCGAAGAAAAAGAAGTCACTTATAGTCGCCAGTGATGATTATGAATTAAAACGGGGAGCTTATTATCAACCCAACTGGCAAATTCCTTAATTTAGCAAATTACAACGTTTCGACCCTAGTTTGGGTCCTTTTCAAGTAATACTGCAAATCAACAAATATACGAGATTAAACTTATTAATTAGTTATCAAGTAAAAAGAAAGGAGGTAAATTAACGAACCAAAGTGAGTCATCGTCATAAAGTAAAAAATGTTGGATATCCGGTGGCAACAAGTCTAGTTTTCGGCATCGTAGTAAGAAAATGAGTTGTTGATTCGCAGTGCAAATTTTGATCCTTGTGTGGATCCAGAATTTCATAAGGCCCGTCATGTTTGACCCAAATTGAAGAGTGATAGTTTCGAAAAAACCTTCCGTGGGTGTAGACACCCTTGTTAAATGAAAGTCTAGTTAGGTCGAAATTAAAAGAAAATTTTTTTTATTTAAAAGAAACTTTGTCTGCACTGATAAAGAAATATTACTTTACTCAAGAAAATTATTCACTAGGTGGCTCCTAATAGCTTATTAACTTAGATTTGAAAAAGTAATAAACAAATTAAAACATGCATTTCTTTAATTTAAGTATTTCTACTATCAAATACTAGAGATAATTTTAAATTTAAAAAATTTTACTTTAATTCTACAAATGTTTACTAAGATATAAGTTTTACAGCGAAGAAAATTGGATTTCTTATTTGACAAAAGCAATGATTTTATTTAATAAGTAGTATTCTCTATTTTATGAAATCGTTAGTTGAATGTAGAAAATGTAATGATTTAAATTAATTTACTTAATATAATACATAGATTTACTTTAAATTTGACTTTTTATGTAAATAGAATAAATATTTACTTCGTTAAAAAAATTTTTGTCAGTGTGGACATGTGATCGCGCTTTTTGTGCAATCGTTATTCGTGAATCGCGTCTAGCACGATCGACATTTATTAAGGCAGATCGGACATGCAATTATTGCTCGCGATTCTACGCGACGAGATGCCTCACGAACGTCCTTAGCTGTTAAGAGTTTCACGAGCGCGGTGCGGTTCCTACGTCGTCGGTCCGATGATGTTTAATCGTTTACCAATTGCAATATCTAGTGCAACAATGGGGGGAGGGGGGGGGGACAGGAGTGAAGGAGTGTTAGCAATCGCTTAGCCGTATGATGCGACACGACGACTTCGTCGTGAGGGTCTACTGTTGATGGAGCGCGAAACGGGCGAACCGTGTAAAATTTGTAGCGGCTGGAATAGTGGGACTCAGTATTATCGTCAGATATTCTCTCCGTCTTTACACGTTACGAAATATCTCCATGCTTAGCAGTTAATGAACCGGCGCGCGGAGCTCCTCGTTGTGTGCTACGTGACATTACGACATTCGGGAACTGATACGCTGTCAGTTTAGCCTCAGCGACGTGAGGCAACGCGAGAAAAGGGTGGTCTTTTGCGCGAGCACATTTCGAGTTTCAGCATTCGCGCGCTATCCAATAAGCAATCTTTCGATTATTAGGGGCTTTAAGAGAGTCGTATGTTTTTTAAAACGTAGATGTATACCTTTAAAGATTCAGGTTGTGAGGTTGACGATGGGACACGATGAAACATTTGCGTGCGTTTTAAATGTACCAGGATCGATCAGACTAGGGTATGACGCCGGATATGCGCACCGGCGTGCGCGTGTTATCATTAGCGAAGAATTGTCGATTTTACAAATTGACGAGTCGGAATTGTTATAGACGACGAGCGACGCGCCAAGCGAACATGGGCGCTCGTCACGAAGACTGAATTGTTACTAACAGGAGCAGAAAGTCTGAGAGAACAGGGTTTTAAGCGGTCGGAACAAACGTAGTTACCTTCTTTTTTTTATCACGATATAGAGTCACGCGCTGTCGACTTTGTTTCTCGACGTGAAGACGCATTTGTTACACCTGGGACACTAATAGCAATCGATAACATAGAATATATTTCACCTATCAACGCGAAAGTAGATTGAAGTGTTGCTCTTCATGTATCGCGGAAACACCAGTTTGTCACACGTTCGGTTCTTTTCGCGGTTCGATTATCGCGGCACGTGCCTGCTTTCGTTTTTGCATTCGTATCGCATCCGCGCGGATGGAGGGGGTCTCTTAGAGACACGAAACACGTTAGTGGCCGACTGTTTTTGTTGCTGTGATATAATTATTCGTGTAGCGATATAAGTGTATTCGACTAAGTACATACGCGATAAACCTACGTACTAAATACGTAATCTGTTGTCGCGCGTAGAAACGATTGTTCTTCATACGTTCCGTTAGGTCTTCGTAATTAAGTTTTCTGCGTACTTTAGGATGTCGAGCAAGTTTTCGCGAGCAGGGGATCTCATCCGCACGGGGTATTTTGACGGACGCAGACAATCGTGAGCTTCGTACGACGTACGTCAAGATACCCTACCGGGATAGGGTAAACATGTTCCTGGCCGATTAGGAACGCAACATGTTTTCACCGTTGGTATATCAATAGCGATTTCCCGCGGTACGTTTTATCATCGTATATCGTCGCTGTGGAAATGTAATATAAAAATAAATTGATGTTCGGACACCCTACTTGCCGAATGTGCCTCAGTATTTTTTCTCCCCGATAATCCCTAGCCCCCTCAGTCTCTCCCTCATGTATCGGGCACCATATTACGCCAGTTAAAATGTTCGGAGACGTAGGACACCTCACTCGACGAATCTGTCATAGCTGCACGATAGACAATCTACTACGCGTGTGGTGTTTGTTTGCGGCCAAAACTAACGACGGATGCCTCTCTCTCTCTCTCTCTATCTATCTATCTATCTGTGAGGAACGTGCTTGACATCTTCCGTTCAAGTTTTCTACCGACATATTCGATTGTTCCGTCCACGTGCCACGAGACTAATAACATTGAACAGTAATCCAATAATCCAAATTGTAACTTTTACCTGTATTTATGTGCTTTGCGTCAATGATCTTTGCACTTTAATATCTAACGAGCAACTCTTCCCCAGGGCCAGTGACAAGTGTCTTCGATGTTTTCCTATCAATCGTGGATCGGCTGTCTCGTTAATTATTTATCTCTAATTTTGTCGAGGTTGAAAGCTTGTCGATAAACATGTAGATGAATTATAAACTTGTCGATGTGCCCGATGTCAGAAGCTACCAGACGTAGCGATCCGAACCAAGTCTCACAGCTCGGTTTTTGCTTTCAGATCTTCTCATGATGGACTCCTTCATGAGCTTCGTAGGTCCTGACGAACGCTCGCCCTCCCGGCCTCAGAAGACCCTCTACTACTGCCCCAAGTGCCTGCATGGTTTCACCCTGAAGAGTAACCGCAATCGTCACTACAGATACGAATGCGGTCACGAGCCCAGGTTCAAGTGTCCTTACTGCGAGCTGCGTAGCAAGCAAACGTCGCAGATCTATAGTCACATTAGGAAAAAGCATCCCGACGAAAGAGTCTGGGTCGTCGATCTGAAATCCTAACGCAACATGCGAACATCACGCGAGCAGTGTTGTGTATTATTATGATTTCAAGCATAATAAACGTTACCTCCACATTACTTCCCGTCTTGACGATTCTGATGGCGCTCTTGTCTTTTGCTCGCCGCTAAATGAGTGCTCATCTCTTTGGAGTTTTTACTTTTAGGAACAGATTGCCAACGTTACAGTCACGTCCGCTTATTAGCTACGTTATCAGGTACGAATATAAAACGTGTGAGGCTGTAAGAATTCCCAATCAAAATTTCCCCGTCCATGTCGAGCTTCTTTGGATGTTTGCTTTATGATACTTCACATTGTAATTTATGTCAAGTGTGTCGCGCGGTATAAAAGTTGATGACGATCTACATGTCGACTATAATGATATTGGATTGAAGGCTGGATGATATCGTTTGTGTATATTATTCACGCACGATATTATTTTTTGCTTGTACAAGCCGTTATTACATACATATTTTAATGACATGTGCAAGAGAGATCAAGCCGTAAGAGTCGCTTCAATACGAGTGTCAATGTTTCCTTTACACGAAAGAGGAATGAAAAGATCGGCGGACAATGATAAGGTACTATTGAATACTGTAACGTTGCGAGTCGATTGTCCGCGAAGTGCCTTTAAGAAAAGGAAAATTATCGTTAAAATATGTATCCCGTTTTAAAATATTCTCTGCATTCAGCTTACAATCCGAATTCGAAAGCATTACAAGTACACATCGCACCCGACACTCACTTCTTAAAACAGACGTCGCACTTATGTGACCGATAACTGTAGTGACCTTTCCCTGGCCTGTCGATAGCTCGTCGTTATCCGTGGTCTCCTTCTAATTGTCCCGTTGTTTGCTTTCAGTTCTTTTGTACGGAAGTTACGGAGTCGGCCGATACGATTTAACGAAGCCCGACCCGAGCCAGAGCGTCAGGGGGTTGTCGATGCGACGACGAGCGTGCGGTATTCGTAATCACGTATGTCCGAAGTGCGGGAACGGTTACACCGTGATCAAGAGCCTCATGCGGCACTTGCGCTACGAGTGCGGTCTGACCCCGAGGTTCAAGTGCCCTTATTGCGGCACTCGCAGCAAGCAACGCGGCCATGTGAGCCAGCATATACGCAGGAAGCACTCCGGCCAGCGCATCTACGTCATCGACTCGCCTTGATGAGGCTTCATCCAGCACACTCGCTTTCTAACGTTTCTCTTCCTCTGACGACGCACCTTAGCAATGTCGGCATAGTCCGACGACCTTCTTTCTTTTGGTATATTTGTGTATCGGCACCTTATCGTGTGATGAACTGAACGATACATGTAATTGTCATTTTGTTGACTGTGTAATTTATAGAATAAAATATTTCCATGACACTCTGTTGGTCCTCGAGATAGTCGTTTCATTTCCATTCACTTCATGATTCAAACGCTTGCGTTGATAGCTCCTCGGGACGCAGTGCAGGTTTGCCGATGCGTACGCCGAGCAAGTAAACGGAGACCTTTGCGCGAGCTTGAACTCCTCAGGGTCAGGTGACGGGAATAATTCGTGGTAACATTTGCAAGCGTCTCCGCGATCTTCTCATTTTTATCTTTTTCTCCTTCACGCATACGGCTCACGCGCATCTTGATCATTCAGCTAACTCCGCGTCCTGTCGATTTTTTTTAGACGTGAAAATGATCAAACTGGAGACCAGCCTGGAGAGCATGTGCTCGGTGGTGCTGGAGGAGTCCCAGAACTTTGACTACGACGAAGAGAAGCCGCTCAACTCGACGAGACGGCGCCGGGGCGGGCGCTTGCAAGACGACATCGAGAGGCATACGTGCTCGCGATGTTCGAAGAGCTATATACACGCGTGGCACCTGAAGAGGCACACGAAGTTTGAATGCGGCCAGGAGCCGAGAGTCCAATGTCCTTACTGCTCCGCCAAGATGAAGCAACGCGGTCACGTTTACAGGCACATCCGCCAGTGTCACCGGGGTCAGAACGTCTACGTGATCGACCTTAACTGAGAGCTCACGGAGACGAGACTGACAATACAAATCTCGATACGGCGAACCAGCACCGGTGTTTCGAACTTCCAGTACTAGCGTACCGATCTGTTGCTTCTCGTCACACTTACTGAGCAATTTCGCCAATCCGCGCAATCGTTTCGAAATATGCCTTATATCGCGACTTTTTTAATCCTTTTTTTTTGTTACAATCTCTACTTGTACTCTTTATCTATCTTTAATGCACTCGTCGAAACGAAGGCTCCTTCTTTGCTGTGTGATTCCGAACAGATATCCGTGTCGCTTCCGAATGCCTAGAATAATGACGAAATTTCGATCAAGTTTTTTTATCTGATTGTGAGATGAGGGGAAGGGGGGGGGGATTTGTATCTACCGTAATATAATTACAGTATGGATGCTGATGTATCTAGTCATCATGATCAGAATCTAGACGCGAGAAGAATAATAAAATTGATTTTATTTGTCTTATCTGTATTAGAATATCTGATTTTATCTCTTGTATCTTGTCTATCGTTATCTCAAAACGAATAAAATACGATATTTTCTCACTCAATCGAAATAAAGTTATTTCCCTAATATAAAAGATTATTTATCATTGTCCGTATTATAAACTACAGTCGAATAAAGCGTGTCCGCATTGTTTATTACCTTTGTTATTTTCCTAAGACTAATTGCAGTGGGTCTGAATGTTTCTCGATATTTTAACACCATCATTTTCGACTATTATTAAGTCGACTATTATTAACTAATACATTCGATTTTCTAGGTCCGCTAAACTTTTCCGATGTGAACTGCCATTTCAGACAGAAGAACAGAACAGAGAGTCGATAGAATTAGCGACCTAATTGTTGCAATGGTACTTCGTCGCCCGACATTTACGATACTAGATATAAACACTTAATAGCATTTCGATAATCTGAGTGATTCCAAGTTTATATGACACGTGTCTGTAGGTGTAAACCAAAGAGATTGTACTCATATCATGGTACGACGAACATCAATGCACATAATTTATAAAATTTTACACATATATACAGGAAACCTAACGCAGAACAAAGAAGATATATGATCCAGTATTTTTATTATTATACATTTTTGATATATGCTCGCATATTTATTAAACTTTTGAATTAATGATTAGTATAAATAAATAATTGTATGATTTAATTATGTATCTTTTCCGTCGAATATAAATTTATGTCTTTCTAATTTCATAAATTTATCGCGGAAAGAGATCAATTAACTAGACAAATTAATCAAACTCTGTTAGTCAAATTCGATAAAAATTCAATGAATGTAAAAGTTGTAATAATAAATAAGTTTTGTAAAACAAAACGAGCAAAAAATATCTGGAAAATTGTGAAACGAATAAGTTCTGTTATTGCAAATTTGTAAATTTAATTCTATCGAAAGCGAATCAGTATTTATATTAACAGATGTAATAAATTCTTCTTTCTAAAATTTTCCCGAAAAATGTTTGTATTTGAAATAACTGAATATTTTAATTCTGACATAGCTGAGATTAAGCTCTCTCTTTCTCGCTCTTTTTCTGTACTTTAATTATTACCTATATTTTCATAAATTCTGCTACCGCATCTTTTTCCATGACTAACGCTCCCCGTTTTCTTCTTCCTCTCGCTTGCAGAGACGACGATACCACGCATACCCAGGATTATGCCCATTATGCCCAAGAATCTGCAGCCACAGCTCTATACGTCATCAATGATGTCGATCAAGGACCTAACGCTCTGGATGACCAAGCAGAGCGGCGGGACTATCGTATACCCGTATCGTTGTGAGAGATGCGGCAAGGGTTACCAGCACCGCGGCACCTTGCTGAGACACACGCGACACGAGTGCGGGAAGGAGCCGCAATTCAAGTGTCCGTATTGCGCTCATAAGACGAAGCAACGTGGCAATCTCTATCAGCATATCCGCACCAATCATCCTGGGAAGAACGTCTTCTCCAGCAGCATCTAGTGCTTGTAGACGTCGCACACGTGCGTTACCACTTTCGCGGTCTTCCTAGTTATTTTATTTCTATTTTTTATCCGGCAATGTTTTGTGTACGCGCGAATTAACGTGGATACAGCAGACAGTTGCAGTTACCATTGAGATTAAATTACGTTATTTTTAATTAAGCGAATACTGCATGAATCGATTTGTAACGAATATGTCAGTATGATTGCGCAATTATTTTTTAAATTGACTTTCTATTTATTCAGTTTTTTTGGCGTCAGTGATATTCCTGTATGGATGTATATTATCTACATTAGTATTAGTCATAAGCGTAGGTGCATTAGTGCGTACAATAAATTCATTGAATTCTAAACGGAAGAAACGATTTTGTACTAGAATGATACGTATAATTTATTTTCGAATCAATTAAGGCTGTAATAACAATGCGAAATTCATCTCTTGAATTTTATCTTCTTCTCTTTTGTATATTACATGCCCGATTTCACTGTTCGTGAGTCTGTAAGTACTTGCCAAATTTTCTACAATAAATGAATTGCATCATTTTTTCCACGTACTTATATAAATAATCTTGCATGAGTCCAATCACTATATAACATAAAGCGATAGGTGTTTATTTGTAAAAAATATATTTTATGGCGCTTGTTGAAAACTGCTAGCAGCTTTCCATTTGTTAACAACGTTTCCTACAGAACAGAAATGCTTTGAAAATTAATCTAAAAATTTTATATTTATCTTTAACTGTTATTTGGGGGACATACTTTTTTCGTAGATGTAAGCTCCTTTTTAATGAAAACAGAATGACCTAGCTGTAACGATACGTTAGGCTTAAAAGAATTAGGCAAAGGCAACATTTCAAGCTGCAGCACCCTGCGTTGTTATTCTTGCGATCAAAAGTCTTCATAAGTTGGACTCAGCCTATCAGTAAAATTTGTTCACCTCGAAATCTCCGTGACCACTTACTAACCGTCGTATTTTATTTTCTTTCAGGGATGATAGCTTGGCAAAGTATCCATCAGTATCACCAGGATCAGATGACTAGTCAGCACAAAATTCTTCACAATTCTAATTACGTGAACCCGAAGATTTCCCAGTTAAAATTTCCCAGTTATCTCGATAAGAAACCGGGTTTCTTTGAGTGTCCGAACTGCGGCAAGTATTATCGCTGGTTGAGGAACATGAGGAGTCACCTGAAGATCGAATGCGGCAAGGACCCGAAGGAGTGTTGCCCTTATTGCCCGCATCGCACCAAATACAAGAGCAGTCTGCATAAACACATCCAGAGAATGCATCCGGAGAATAATTTCGCATAATTTCACCAAGTATTTTTTTTACTCACTAATTATCGCTGTGCAATCGATTTCTGATTATCATGGGGCGATTTGTGCACTAGTTATTGACCGCACATATATACGTGTTAAATGAGACAGAAACAATGAATCTTATTTATCACACTCTTTGTAAATTATTATTTACTGAACGAATTAATTGTTATACAGTCAGTGCACGAAGTCATTCGAGAAGCATCGACTCAAATGTTGTTCATAATTATTATAAGTCCTAATAATTGTAAATCTAGTCAGTTGAAATGAAAATGATATTAAATGGTTCGCTGATAGAGTTCGTTGAGCGTTCTTGGTGTTTTGTTTAATATTCCTGCAAACTCCTATAAACCATGATCGATTGCGGAATCATCTTGTCATTAATCGATATTTGAGGATGATATTTTCAGGATCAATTCATCGGTGTTACAGATGCGGACAATTTTACACCTGGCTGGAAAGTCTGAGAAAGCTTATGTGTACCAAGTGTGTGGTTTATTATCGAGTCAACAGTATTCGTATTATTCGCACAAATCGAGGCAAAACAGGAATGATGCTACAAAAAGTGAATAAAACCTGATTTTTTAAAATCTTATATGCACTATAGTTTTTATATATTTATATAGCATGGATCTAAAAGGCTCATACGATCATCGAGAGGCATTTTGTCAAATAGATTTTATTTTTATCCGAGTAAGCTTTTCTCCTTATAATAGAAATTTTATTTTAAATCTATATACTTGGCTTAAAAATAATTCATTAATTTACTAAAACATTAAAGTTACACGATTAAAAACGCGTCGCCAAGTCTAACGGATCCATGCAATGCAGATCAGGATGTTTATTAAAATAATTTTATTTCAATTCTCTGCGAAAGAAATGTCACGGCTTGATGAAATAAATTATTAATGTAATGTCAAAAGTTTAACTTATTCATCACAGATTCATGCGAAAGGCTTTAGTTTCACGGGAGAATCAATTCACGGAATTGGCACTCTACGAAGATTCGCACGATTTCATGAATCATAATGAATTGTCACTTAATATATTAAATGTGTGTTTTAATTTTTATTTCATTATTTCATGCTAATTAAGCACTTTGCACACATCTTTACCGCGACACGTCCGCTAAAGATCAAGCACATACTTTGTAACATTCTCTACAAGCACAGATATTAGAGAGATCGATGGCTTAATGAATCTCGTACGTATATTATTCTCAGCAACTGAAATATTCTTCTGCAGTTAGAAATCATATAATATATATACGAGATCCATGATTCTCTTAACATTTCGCGGAAAGTTTTATTTTGAGCAGACAAGTTCGTAACGATAATATTTCTTGTGTGAAAGTGATGCTTCAGAGACATTGTCACGGTGTTACCAATTGTGAGATCGCGTCACAATTGGTCTTCGAAGCACCCTGCGGATAGAAAGACACTCGTTGGAGAGCGTCCTCGTTTGCATCGTGGGGGAATTCGCCGGTTATCCCGCGCGGTTGTGAAGCGGTTTCCTCGCTGACTAGTATTTCTGTTGCAGGTGTCAAGTACCCGTGCCAATGGTGCGGACGAAACTTCTCGTGGCCGTCGAGTCTACGTCTACACCAGAAAATGGCGTGCGGTAAACCGCCGAATTTCTACTGCACCATCTGCGATTACAAGTCGAACTTCAAGGGCAACCTCAAGAGGCACCTGTTTTGCAAGCACAATATAGATTTGTATTGATGCACGCGCGCGACTAGATGACCATGCGATTGTTTTTTAAGCGACCGACCCTTTTATCTTCGTCGACAGAAGAAGAGAGAGAGAAAATTATATCTGCAATAAATTATATTTGCCGCAACACGTCCTATGATAATCTTCCTTAGGATCCTCTAATGTTTTTCCGATTGCGTTCACCATGCGATTCAGTGAACCCACGCGTTGGTTTTCTCGCGGATTACCTCTGTTTCAGATCACAGGTACCGAGAAGTGCCAACGGCAGGATGGACGAAGTAAGTACGTACGTACAGGAAGACAATCGCACGTGTGTTAGTTTTTTTCCACGAGATCGAAGAAGCGCTTTTCGAGACGATTGACCGCGTGCGAATCACCGCGAGATCAGTCGTCTTCTCGCCCCCGTAGCTTCGTTCGTATTTCGGATCACGAATCCAGAGAGATGTTTCGCCCTCGAAAAGCGCGTCGTCTCGCTAGATGGATCATCCCGAGGACGTCTTCGCGGGGGATCCATTCCCGACTTGCTCAAGGCATGCGCTTCGATGTATAGAGATCTATCTTGGTTGCGTCCAACGCTTGCTACCTCCGTGACCGCTCGACTCTGGGCCCTGCAATGGGGTCTCACGGGTTGGCCCCACCCCATCATCAGGGGTGAGACCCGATCCTCTCGTGGTCTCCGTGATCATGCTCTAACAGACACGTCTCTTTTCAGATGCACCACTCTTTCCGATCGTGAGGCCGCGACTGCACGTGTGCCCCCGCTGCGGCCAGATGTACTCGTGGGCGTCGAACCTGCGGAAACACCTAAAGATGGGCTGCGGCATGGTCACCTTCGAGACGCACTTCTCCTGCCAGTACTGCCCCTACAGATCGAGGATCGAGGCGAGCTTCCTCAAACACCTGCTCTCGGTGCACAACATCAAGTAGACGTCGCGCTGGGGCGACATCCCCGGTATCTCGCCGACCGACGTCTTCGATTCTTCCGTAATCGCGACGTCTCCGGGAGGAATTCGTTCGAGGTTCTTCTCGCGATTAGAATCGATGGAAGACCCGCCAGTCTCTGATGATTCTTTCGCAGGGGGAAGAGCTTCGCCACGGTCTCCTTGAGTCAGAATAATCTGGTAGTCGGATAATATCGTACGCCCCGCGAAACTGTCCTCCCGTAGCTTCCCACGCTATGTTCTTATCTAATAGGAAGCTCACGTGCTCGAGCGAAAGCTGATGTGTGGCTTTCTGACGAGGAGCTAAGTTGTTATCTCGCACGATGGCCGAAGCAGCGAGTATGCACCGCGTTTACGTCCGAATTGCTTTGAAGCTTATCGGAGCGTCGACTCTCGAAAACGTAAGACGTCGTATGAAGATTGTAATATGACACGTCATATCAATGATCTGTAGGGTCTAACAATAAGTGTCGTACTATAGACTCTGTGTGATGTCGTCATTGACGTTCGAGACTCCGTGAGAGCGATTTTTAGCTTATATGAGTTGTGCTTGCGACGTTCGCCGACTTAAATCTCGGGGAGATGATTTTGTTTCAGATTATTTTAGGCCATAGTACGTGGAAGCTAGCCTCTTTCATTTGCAGAAATCGTTCAACGTGAGAAAAGTGACTTTGATAGACATAACACTTAATTGAGTGAACAAAATCTAGTCTAAAGGCTGTTTTTTCTTCCGTAAGATTTCAGACGAACTCGCTTCGTGCTGCGGTTCGCAGATAAAGATATGGATATTATTTTTATGTATTTTAACACAGAGTAATCATATCTCTTTAAGTGTCTTTGTATTTTGCTTGATATAAAGTAAAATGTGCAATTATAACTACACACTAATTACATTTCTGATTTTAATTGGAAGAGATCCACTCGCATCAGGAGCGAAATCTTTCCTTTTGAAGAACTTGGTTTGTTCGAGTTAATCATATCTCGGCTCGGGAAACCCACAATAATTTCTAGTTTTAGCGAAAGAGCTTTGTTACATTTACAGATAGGAATCTTCGTGGTAAATGTGTTTCATCTTTGCCAGAGACTTTTCTCTCCTTTCGTCCATTTCTGTCGAGGAAAACGCCTTCCGTTCACTATTGGTGCAATTAATAATATCCGAAATTGTTACAATTCGTAACTTCGATATCACGCGTATGTACGAGCGCGCTCGTGTGTATGTGTGGGCGTGTGTCTGGCGCGTGTCTGTGTGTGCGTATGTGTGTGGCAAAGTGTAGCACGGAAAGTCTGATTACTACCTAACGACGAGACATTAATGATCACGTATACTATAAGTATAGCCGCCGGAAGATGTTGGGGGACGGCAATCATCGAAGACTACGTAATGATCTTAAAAGTCAAACCTATAGGTTTAAAGATAAGCGATAAACTTAAGAAGAAGTCGATGGAGTCGTTTTTTAACGCGATTAGTAATACGCCCTTGTACCGTCGATTATCGTGCATTATAGAGACTGCTCGAGTATAGTGCAATTTGACTGTAAATTACGCTAGCTCCAACTACACTTAGCCATGTGGCGTAGCGGATTTTAGACGACAGTTACTTACATTTATCGACGTACCGACAATTAAGCGTATCCCACAACAGCCAATAATTTCATTTACGACAATGTAACCATGATTAGGGATAAGCATGCATCCGTGGCCTCTTTTACAATATACACAGATTTCAATGAACATGAACATTGAGTTTTCTTTTTAGGGCTTTGTAACGCACGGCCATCCTGCTTTCGTTTACAGATCTTGTTTTTCTTACATCGTGCAACAATGAAACGAGAACGCAAGATATTATGTAGATCGTAGGTGAATTATTATCCGATACTCGAAGCGCTGTATCGTGCCATTACTCACTTAAACGCATTAGTCATTTATCCAAATTCGAAACGCTAACTTCGACATTTCGTAACATAGGAACGAAATAATATTCCGACGTAAAAATGTCTGAGCCGATTAAATGTAAGGAAGCCTACACGGAAGCCTCGTAAACAGAAGAAGGTACAAGTTTAGGAATTTAAGGGAAGAGTCGCAAGAGTTGCATATCGAGAAGTGCATGCTAACAAACAATCAAGATCCACCTAATCGCCCCTAGTGAGGGAACTCGCGTATCGATGCTCGTTACAAAAAAATTTATTACTACCGCGAAATTTCTTACGTACGTGAATGAGACAACGTGCATACGGCGGATAACGACGTTATAGAGACGATAACGATGTAAAACCACCTGTCTACGAGAGGCACCGCTAATGTACTTTCCAGTCGATAGATCAGTAGATCGATAGATCGGCGAAGCCACATGTCGCGTTGGCTGCGCTACGCAGCGATTAAGTGTTTGTGTAACGATGTTTCGCATTCGTTTGCTTTCTAAATAAATACCTGTGTACATATTCGCAGTCACGAGAATATTCTTCGAACTGCATCTCCTTTCGTCTTTATTTTACACGTTCGATCAATTACTTATGATTTTTTACAGATCACGAAACGCCTCCATTTCAGGATCAAAGATTGCGTTTATTTTGCCTCCAAAAAGAACTTCTTTTTATTTCCCTATCTGTTTTAAATTATTGCCGAGTGTCTTTCCTATAACTTAATTTTTCGAACTTCCTCATTAATTCACGTCCACGACTATAATTATTGTCGCAAGGCTAATAGCTTCAATGCGAATTGATTATAATCTAAGTTTTATCATTTTATTCGACGCTCTTCATTATCGTTAATTATATAAATGACCATAGAGTAAAAAAATTTAATTAATAAAATTTTTCAGTTATCCGTCTTGAACTCGTCTACGTTAGATTGCCATAGCTTCTATATTTTCCATATTACTCTTCCTAAATATAAAAACGTGCGAATTGTTACGATGACGATGAATCTTCCCTTCTCTTCCCTACTCACTTCATTTTAGTTACGGGTGGTTTAACAGTTTGGAGCGGTAACGAGTATTAGGATGAACATACATGTGATGCAGACGTTCCAATCTTTGTCCATAGGTATGAGATGCATTCTGAAGATATCCTTGTTCATCGCATGCTACTTAGATGTAAATGTTTTAAGTAAAACAGATCGCGTTCTGGGAAACGCACAAGTGGTCGCTCTTTGCAATTTGATTGTCTTCAACGCATACATGACGAGCTGGCTTTTGTGTTTCAGGTTCGCTTATTGTCTGGGAGAGCTATCGGGCACTTGGTACGAATACGTCCAACAGATCCAACAACTATGAAGTTCGCAAGTTCAGGTTCAAGCACGTGGATCATGCTAGTACAGGCGGTAGGTACAAGTGCTCCAAGTGCGCAAAGTCGTATCGATGGAAGCATCACCTTGTGGAGCACGTCAAGGCCTCCTGCGGCCAGAAGAAGGCGGAGTGCTGTCCGTATTGTAGCTATAAGAGCAATCGCAAGTGGAATCTGAAGTCGCACATGAAGAGGATCCACGCGAGCGTATAAGAAGGCAGATATTATATTGATTACAAAATACATTATTGATTAACAGTATCTCACAACGTGATACACACGAAAATATATTATTGATTGACAGTACACAATGTCATACACACGAAATTTTATTGATTACAAAATACTTTATTGATTGAAAATATCTCACAATGTGGTACACACATGTCTCCATTTCAATGTTCTTCAATAAAACAAATTGTTTATCTCATTCGGTTCTTTCGACTGTTGCCTGTAGCCCGAAATTAATCGAATTTATTGTTCGATATTTGTAATACTGTTCCTGGAGGCCAAATCCTTGAAAAAGAAAAGTACGCAGTTCCTTTAGAATATCCATACACTCCTTTTATTGATTACCTCAAACGAAGTTTTTGCTTTTTCTCCTTTTTAATTTTTCTTGATTATCTAATAGTCTTTTTCATGATTTCATTCACATTTTTTTCTACGGATAGAAATACTAAAAGGGAGTAGAAAGGAATAAATTTCTGTCGAATTCGTCTCGCCCAAGTGTTGAATTCTTCTGAGTATGTATATTTTATTTGTGTCTCTTTCATGTTTCAGGATCATTTATTTACGAGACTCGTTTACAAAGTATGGCGAAACCGCGTATATTTAGACGCGATTTGGAACAGGTGAGCAGAGCCGTTGACGCTGTCGCCAATGGGATGTCTTTGAGGAAGGCCGCGAGAATCTACTCCATATCCAAATCAGTTCTACATCGATACAGCAAACAGGGCATCCCGACACGAATAATTTACGCCAAGAAGTTCCAGCCATATGCGAATTTTTAATGTTTGAAGATTATATCGACTGTATCATGATTCTCTAAATGATTCAATTAAAAAGTTATTGAGCAATTCATTTCCTCAAAAGAGATTTTCTTCTTCGATTGACAACACGTTTTTTGTTATTTTCCTGCCTCTTCTACAATGAAATTGGATATTAAATTTATATTGCATGAAGTATTACGGTGGTTATTAATTTATGAATGGTAAGTATCGATGAGAGACATCATTAAAGTTATTTTATTAAAAATATATTTTGTTTAATCTTTTTTTCTTTTTTTTCTTGATCTGATCAATGTCTTATTAATTTCAAAGAGACTTCTTTTTATTTGTTATTTTCTTAATTCTTTAATAACTGCAATTTATTTCAAGGAAAAATTAATCGTCTTAAAGGTGTTAATAATTTACTGTGTTAAAATAAATTTTATTTATAGATGTTAGCTGATTTAGACAGATTACCCACAAACTATTGATTTATTAAAAAAAGCTTAATGACATTTTTAGCAATTATTCTAGAATGTGCGAATTTATTAATAAGGATCATTATTAATTATACGGATGTATTTGTTGCAGAAAAACTTCCTATTTGCGCAAATGTCCATTTTGCAATAAAAAGATTAAAAACCGACCGGTTCTATATCGACATTTGAAGAGATGCAAAGAGAATTACTGGCTACCACCCGAATTCATGTGCGGATATTGCCTTTACCAAACAGGATTGAAGAGCAAACTTGTTAATCGTCTTCTTAAACATACTGATTACAAACGCAAAGTGTCTCAGCTTTTGCAGTTTTATCGCTTAAAATATGAGTTTTCGTCTAGTGTTTCTTCTAATTAATTTAAATTCAAGTTGTATTTTACTTTATAAATATATATGTTTAATCTTACCGACTACTATGACAAATCGTATTCTTCAAAGTCGAAATAAAATTACTTGACGATGTTGACGATATATATTCATCGATTATAAAATGGCTGCCAGAACTACCTAATTGTTTGATATCTACGAAATTATTTGACATCTGAAAAAATACAACTTGTATTTTTCAAATTTTAATCAATATTTGCGCAGAATTAATGAATATTATCTTCCTTTCAAAAATGGTCACACGTTCAAGATTTTTCAAATATTTTTTGTTTTTAATAATATTCAGAACTTTAGATTTCTGGCATATATATTCAGGATAAATCAATATATCTCGAACTTATCATTTTTCTTTTATTCGGGACAATGATCATAAGTGTGATTCGAATGCCAAAAAATAAACCTATTTATCGCGTACTAATTATTAATAAGATATTTATATATGACGCTAAATACATCGTTCTTCTGCAAGACTTTATGTTTATCTTTTTTTCATTTTCCTTCACTGTACATACAAAACTAACTGTGATGTAATTGAGAAACGATATTCGCGCACAATTCGCGATTTGTAACTCGGCATGAAATACATCTCCAACCAAGTATGCTTGTGAGATTATGTGCAAATAGGGTGGCCTTTTTGTGTAACGCGACACGTATCTCCCTTGGGGCAGTCGAGAGATAGCCGAGTAGACCCAGCTAGACCCTAGACATCGTCGAAGAATCTACTCTTCTCCGCACGCTATGCACGAATATCGCGAGGAAGAGTCGCGGCAGCGTCCATGAACAATGCTCTCTAACCGGGTGTTCCCATGTTCTTTTGTTTTCTAGATGTACGTGCCGCGAACTATCTGAATTGCCAGAGGGTGACGTATCCGTGCAAGAATTGCGGCAAGGTCTATAGCTACTACTCTAGTCTGGCCAGGCATCTGAAGCACGAGTGCGGCGTGGAGCCCAAGTTCCACTGTCCCTTGTGTCCTTACAAGACGAAGCACAAGTCGAGCCTGAACACTCACCTGAATGGCAGGCATATGAAGCTATTGAGCGATTTTTATACTTTGCCCAATGGCAACAAGACGTCTTCAACGGATGGAAATTAAATCGTATCTGCGTTCGAAGACGCATGATATAGATTAGATGCTACACGTGCGATGTACCAGATAATTCAGAATTTATGCGTCAACTAGTATCTGATTTGTGAATCATAATTATGATTCACAACGAAGTTACAGTATTATAGTCATATAGTGTAATGTTACACTATTTTAATTACGTTAATTTTTTTATATTTAATTTAATCATGATTAATTATTACGCATTCTTTTTAATAATATTTTTAAAAAACCGACATAAAATTGCATGGAATTCGTTATTATTAGAATTTAACTACAAATATATTTTATATGCGATAATTCTGAATTATCTCGTATTTAAGTGAAGTTTGATCCTTGGTGCACCAATGTTATATATTTCTTCCTATTAACAACCGAATCTGCAACCGTATATAGACGAAAGTTTTCTATTATGAGATAGTTTTCTAATATAAGATAGCAGGTTTTCAGCACCCAAATTCAATCACAAAACTTTTTTCACAATAGTTACACGATCTAACAATGAATTTTTTACTAAACAGATTTCGCTCCAAGGGCAATAAATTCATGGTGGAATCAACTGATGATGCCTACTAATTTAACAGAAACCCCTCTATCTCATATTAGGGAACTTTCCTCTACATATATTTACTACACTTCTTGTTTTTCTATTCTCCCTCCCGCAAGCAGAGAATGTTCCGACAGAATACCGCTAACGAGCGTTTATTTTTCAATGACACAATAGCCTATATTTTTGTAAGCAGCCATCATTTCATGCGTCATCATCAGTGAGATAGTCCCCTGACACATATGTAGACGTATAAGAAAAACATACGATCCCTTGCCGGAATTTCATTGCGACCATCCTGTATTTTTTTAAGGAACGAGATCGCAATCTGTACTGTATTTTATATCATTATGCTTTTTGATATAGCGTATAATCATATTGTTAGACGATATATTTATAAAGCTGGATCTTTAGTAACATATCTATAGCGGCGAATTTATTATTAAAGACAGATTTATGTTTGCAGTGATTTTTTTATATATGTTTATTATTTTGCATTTTGTTTTTATATTTTTGGTTTTTTTTAAATTAATTTAGACTATAGAGCCTTGGCAAGTAACAATCTAAGCAGAGAATTAACTTAAGACGCATTTAACATTATGCATAAACAATATACTTTTTTTTTCTAGGAGCTTAGATAGAGAAAATTTTTTTTTTTAAAGAGGTTTCTCAATAATCTCGATAATATATGTAAATTTTAATGTTTACCCTTACTTTCTCACACGTTATACATTTTTGAAATAAGAGATATTTAGTTTTGTATCTGCAAAGACATGTATTATGCCACTTGTTTGAAGTGATTTGAAAAAGCAGTATCGGTTTCACCGAGAGAGTTTTATACCAAAGTTTAATAAGTGTTAATTGCGAAACAGAGAAACAAGTCAATATACATAAATAGTTTTTACATCAAAGAAACTTATTTAATTGTTTAATCTTCATTAACCGATAATATTCACGCTAATACGATTAAGTTTATTGTTAACAAAATTGAATGTATCGAGTGTGTTTTTAGATATCGGCAAATGTCCGATAAATAAAATCAATAAATCACGAAAGATACAAGTGAACTTATTAACATTCACGCACGATCGACAATAAGAAATAGGAACTACACACGCTAACGTGGGTAGTAAAGGCTTTGTTGTTACAATTATAAAACGTGACAACTATACATGTTTATGTGCGTGAACATCGTGCGAAACACAAAGTATTATTATAGATACCTATTTATACAGATACTTCAATAAAAATTATAATAAACCGCTTTCTTTGCTATGACAGACCTTAATCAATCTCGTTTAACATTTTGTTTCAGTTGTCCTGTGGCGTCTGGTTCATATTAAGATGTAATTATAGTTTCTTTAAGAAAAAAACTGCTTCAATATGGTTTGCAAAATTCTGGAATAAAATTTTTTTCCAGCAATGGTGTGGTAATTTCGATTTTGAAAGATTGAAGATGTTTTTCTTTGACAGCTCTTGTTATCGAATGTTGCTGTATGAAAAGCGCAACTACGAAAATATATGTGGAATAAAAGAAGATAATCTAATTTATAATCGTAGGAATGACCGCAACATTGTTCTTTCAATGGCAATTTCGTGAATCGTGGAGCTATTTGCTGAACATAATAAATGCATCATAAAGTGCTTTCACAAATTGATGTAACGGCGCAGAAAGTTTATTGAGATATCGTAGATCCATTCCCTGAGATTACTTGAACGTGGTTTTTGAATAGAGATGTTTTAATAATAAAAATTATATAATTATATAACTATATAATTATATAATTCTTTAATTCTTTATGAATTAATACACGTTGGAATTTTATATGAATGAATCTAATGGTATATCTTTATTTTTACTAAGTCTGTATCTATTAGCGACAAGTATTGAATAAAAATTTTTCTTGTGTGATAAATCCTTAGTGCAAACGTACATTTTATTAGGTCTTCATGTATCGGATCGACGTTGCTATCGGAAGAACATGTGAACACTTGGTCGTAACGAGTTTATGATTTATACATATACATATATAGAAGAATATAAATTGCCATCTAACAATCGCACAAACTCTTTCAGAATGGTGCTTCAACGCTATGGAGGAGATCGATCCTTTGGCGTTGCCATCGCAGCAAAATAAGTCGGATTGTCGGACAATTGAAGACCAAATAACGGTGCAAGTCAACTCTACGAAGGTCTACCCGTGCGTTCGTTGTGGACGGTGTTACAAAGTGAAGAGATCGCTGCGTCGACATATTGTGGTCGAGTGCGGCAAGGCGCCGAAGCACAAGTGCCCTTACTGCCAGCACCAGAGCAAGTACAGGGCCAGCATAACGAAGCATGTGACAAATGTACACCCGAATTTGCCGTACCCGTTACCTGACGATTAATCGTTTCTAGAATAATGTTATTTATTCTCTTTTTTTATAATACTGATATTAGTAGTATTTATACTACTACCAGAGAGAAATCTGAGAGCGGCCACGCCGGTATTTTATGCGGGGTCTCTACAATGCGAGTCTCAGAGTCGTAATTATACACATAGTAAGTATAGACTGAGCGTCCCATTGAATAAGCTGAAGCTTGTGAAGAGAGAGAGGGGGAGAGAGAGAGAGAGAGAGAGAGAGAGAGAGAGAGAGAGAGAGAGAGAGAGAGAGAGAGAGAGAGAGAGAGAAGATATAAGAAGACTTTCTTTCTCTGTCTTACACCATCGTAGAAGAAAAGAATCGTGCTTGCGCCTCCATTGTTTCGATGGTGAGGCAGAGAAAGAAAGTCTTCTTAAATTTTCTTTGTCTCTCTTTCGTCTCTCTTCACAAGCTTCAGCTTATTGATTGGGACGCTCAGTCTATATTTACTATGTCTATAGTCGTAGTCGTAAGAATAATCGACTGTAATTGGTCAATTCAGTCGGGCACATAAGAATTAAAAAAAAACATAAGTTCAGTAACTTTTACTCTGATTGGTCAAATTTCAATCTAATCCCAATCTCAATCCGTAGTCTGATACGGGCTTTACGATCACTGTATTCTGTATTGGGTCTGTGCATAAGTCTGTGCCAAAATTCCGAAAGATGTCGTTCGCAGTTGTTTTTCAGTTCGCACATACGTCAGACATCTAGAGTATCATACAGTTTCTGGAAGCTAACATTTGTGCCGACATTTTAAGACCACACTCATCGAGATCCGTGTCGTGTACGAATTTTAATTATATTTTGACTATGGAAGGAGAAAACGTGTATTTTCGGTGCATTTCGCTTTTTTATTTCCGAAAAGGCAAAAACGCGTCGCAAACTCAGAAGAAGATATGCGCCGTGTACGGAGAGAATGCCTAAGCGAACGTGTGTGTCGGAAATGGTTTGTTCGGTGAAAAATGGATTGTTTACAATAATGCCAACCGAAAAAGACTCGTTGAAGCGCGGAAAGACTGCTCAGACGGTCGCAAAGGCTGGATTATACCCGAAGAAAGTAATGCTTTGTAACTGGTGGGATTGGAAGGGAATCGTCTATTATGAGCTGCTGCCACCCAACCAAACGATTGATTCGACCAAGTACTGCTCACAATTAAGCCCGCTGCAGACGATGCTATTTTTCCTGCTGGATTGCTTGCAATCTAATAAGTTACTATAATTGCACCACTCAGAACTCAGCATTTCTAGTAATTTACTAAATTGCAAGCAATCCAGCAGGAAAAATAGCGTCGTCTGCAGCGGGCTTTAGACAAATTAAAGCGAGCACCTTCAGGCTATCACTTATTCCGGGCGCTACAGAACAATTTGGATAATAAAAACTTTAGTTCCTGGACATCCTCAAAAAGCACTTGGATGACTTCTTTGCCCAAAAATCTCAGGACTTCTGACAGAGGGATAATGATGCTTTTGGAAAAATGGCAGAAAGTTATTGAACAGAATGGAACATATTTGGTTGATGAAAAATTTTTTTTTTCCCCTAAAGACTTTGCGTTTGAAATTTACTTGATTTTCGGCACGGACTTATGCACAGACCCAATAGAATAGACCTAAAGCGCCAGCGTGCCAAACAACAGTAAGAAGAAGAAGAAGAAGACATCAGCGTGGCCGTTCTCAGGTTTCTCTCTGCTCTCGTAGTACTATTACTAAAAAATAGGAAACTACTAAAAGATACTATAACTCAATTACAAACGTAAACGCCATTTAGGACCTGACACAGGTGGAGGTAACCAATTAAATTACTGTGTGAATCCATGTACCGTATTTTTTCCGATCTGTCCTGCGCGCCGTTACTTCCGGACATATAACACAGGTTTTACTGACGATAATGATTCCACCTAACGAAAAACCTGTGTTATATGTCTGGAAGTAACGACGCGCAGGACAGATTAGAAAAAATACGGTATATGGATTTACATGGTAATTTAAATAGCTATCTCCACCTGTGCCAGGTCCTAAATGGCGTTTACGTTTGTAATTGAGTTATATGTTAAAAAGGACCGAGTTAAAATTAGTTAAAAGATCTAGTAGATCACTGTAGATCACTGAAGTATATTTTGATATTTTTAGAATAAATTTTATATTTCATTTTTTGTTATTGCAAAGTTGGACCAATGTTAAGTTCTCAGGACGTGATACTAAAAAGTTCTTTCTTTCATAATATGAATAAGTTCAGTCGCATGTTTGCGTTAAAACAGTTTAATAAGGATTTGTTTTTATTATTTAAATTAAGAAGTCATTGACTTATTAAGGTATATAATTAATTTACAATTGTTGACAGATCTTGTCATTAATTGCATGGAAATCTCTCCACAGAGTGCGTCCAATCACGTGAAAAAACTTATGCATTTGTAAATAAAACCGATATCTTAGCTAACGACACGTCAAAATGAGTCCGAATGTTCAAACGTTCGAACGATTGATTGTTACATTAGGCGCAGCTCTTGAAAATTGTTCTCCGAACTTATCTTCGCAATATACATTGAGAGAAATGTTGACGCATGTTATTATTTCCTCGTTAACACCACCATTTCAAATTCCTAGAAAGCACATGAAATCAATCGCTCAATTCTTCATCGTGTATTTAGGAAGAGGGCGGCGAGAAACTTTGCGAATTAATGACGCAAATAGAATGGAAGGTACCAAGCGTGAGTATGGAACAGATTCTGAAGACATTCATTTTAAGGATGTTTCCTGTTTTAACGAGATGCACACCGAAGATGTAATTGTGTTTGCATGCTCGTGGCGTTATGTATTACACTTTTTCAGATACGCAACGAATCTTCTCGTATAGCTGTGTACATCCTTCTGTTATTTTGCCGTCACGTTAAGACTTTATGATTCAGTGTACTCGAACGGGGCCTGTTCCGTTTCCAATTATTTATTTGCTTTATCTGATATCACACACAGGACTTGAATGGATCTTGTCTCAGCAAAGTTTTTCGGTTTAACCGATTTAAAGGAACACATCGCAGGGATTTAATAAAATGCTTTTTTTTCCATCAAAGTACGAGGATGATGAAGACTAGTGCTACTTCCAGTATTAATAAAGTGCTCTTCGTGATTGCAGATTACGCGAAGATGAACTATTACATGACTCACACGGTGAGGGATCGGCGGCGGTGTCGTGGCCAAGGTCGCTTCGCCTGCGACAACTGCGATCGTCGTTATCACCAGATGAAGAATCTCAGGAGGCATGTGATGAACGAGTGTGGCAAACAACCGATGCATCAGTGCTCCTACTGTCCGTACCGAGCGACTTACAAGTCGTATCTTCAAGTGCATATGATGAAACACGCCAAGCACGGTTTCGTACCCCGCATGGTCATCACTAAGCATCAGGATTCATAAAAGCCCTCTCGATCCGTGCCTGCTAAGTAACGCCGACTTCCTGTTCGCTCGAGTGTCGAAGTTACTTACCAGGATCTCGAAGATCGCGAGATGTTCGTAGAACGGTGGGTTAGTATGAGAATAAACAAGAATTTTAACGTGTGACTTGAGATTTCTGTATATTGATAGTCTCTTCAGTATCATTTAAGGAAATCTCAATTATTGTATCAAACATGTACAATGCCGATATGTTTCGATATGTACACTTTTTTTTAATTGATTTGTTCGAATTGTAAAGCATTCCATATTTATATCGCTATGCTAACGTAGAAAAAAAATTCCCTTAAGCGGGTCGTCGTTTTAGGTCTAAGGTAATTTTCTGAGGAATTTAATAAAGTCTGCATCTCATTCCGACACCGATATCTCTAAAATTCTTTGCGAATCAATCCCCTTCCTTATTCCACTCCAATTCATCAATTACACCCTGCACAGACTTTAAGTCGCAAGTCCTTAAGCCACTTAGGATATAAGGCAATAATTAGCGATCGGATAAAAATAACGAAAAGGTAAGTAGGGTGAAAAGGGGGCCAGGTACCCATCTTAATTGTTAGATATGTGGATAATTAATATTACATAAATCTCATAAGACAAATAACATTTGTGTTTGCCTTTTGGTGTTCATGTTAAGAATATTAAGTGGACGATGGATCGATGCACTGCGAGACGGAATGTCGCGGTGCGAACGGAGAGCGTTATCTTCACCCGAGCGCTCCCGGAAGAAGCGGATGTCGATGCCGATCGCAAAGCATCAACATTGCTCGTCGGGAAAAGCGACGTCGTACTAACCGTTGAAAAACTTTTTTCTGTTTCAGTTGAACCGAAATACGTTGCGATATTCAAGCATACTTGCGGCACCTGCGGCAAAACTTACAAGCACAAGCACCATCTGAAGCGGCATCACGATTTTGAGTGCGGGGTCGATCCGAAGTTCAAGTGCGCCTTTTGTCCACACAGGACCAGATACAAGGACAGCCTGATGAAGCACATACTGGCGCGTCATCAACATTTTCTGGACCAGAATCCGCAATATGGTCACCAACAGGTTTTCGAGGCGCATACCGATACCGAGATAAATTTTCATGCGCAGGAGACCAATACGTTTAATGTTTATCCCGACTTTACGTAAAATTTCTCATTTCTTTCGTCGTATTAGTGAATTATATTTTATTGGCGAGTATGTCTAGGCAAATGCACGAAATTCAGGAATGATGAAAGTAGTCACGTTATAAGCAAATAAAAAAATTAAATTCTTAGTTTATCTTCTGATTTTGCAAACTAATGATAATATGATTTTATATAATGAATGAATGTTTAAGATAAAGAGAAATCAGTTTTTAACGGTATACAAAAGCAAAAAATGGATTGGTTGTTATTAGTACATTGTTTTTGTTGTTGTTGTCACATTGATTTACTTATATTAAAATAAATGCGTTAACATTTAAGAATAATATATCTATTTGGTGAAAATATTTGGTAAAAGTATACCTATTTACGTAAAAATATTAAATTTTCTTATACTTACGTAAAAATATTAATTTCTTTTACTTTTACTTATTTTATAACTTTTATTCATTAAAAGGATCAAGTTTAAAAGATTGATACCAAAATTTTGTCACCATAAAATATCTAGTTACATTGTTAGCAATTTTAATATTGTATAATGTTGTTATTTTCAATCTTGGTAAAATATGTACATGGAGAAGAGATATAAGAAATATAACATTCACGTCGAATAAAATTTCATATTATTAAAATAAATCCAAAATAAATTTTTCCCCTGCCCACTCATTTTTCGATCAATATTCGTGAAGGTATCTCACAAAGTGATGTATATCTTTTATTAAGAATTATGATTACGCATCATGTCTGAGATATCTTATTGTATGTTTTGTATTATGCACACCATTTTGCTTTCCATTAATTAAACGATATCGCTTGTGCGAATTTAAGTCCCGAGCCGGTATCATCGAGGCTCAACTTCATCTCTTCTCTTCTTGATTCGCAGGTGCAACATACAGTCCGGCCAATTGGACGATACCCACCTTACCGTCGACGTCGCGAATCGCGTTGTACACTAGGCGTCTCCGTTCGATGTCCTCGAACGAGGACAGCGTAATCAGCGGCAGAACAGGTCCCCGTAAGTATCTCTGCAACGATTGCAGCCGGACGTTCGCTCTGAAAGCCTCGCTGCTGCGGCATAAGGCGTTCGAGTGCAACAAGGGTCGACAGCCGTACGAGCGACAATCCCAGGACGAATGGAGGAAAAAGAAGAAGCATGTATGTGCCAGGTGTAGCCGCGAATATGCGTTTTTCACGTCATTGTGGCGACACCAGAAATATGAGTGCGGCGTGGAGCCGAAATTCATCTGTCCTATCTGCAAAGGCCGATTCGCCCAGAAGAGCAATCTGGATCGTCACGTACGATCGAAGCATTAAACTGTGCTCGCAATTAATCTTGTAGTTTAATCACTTTACCGTGCATTATGCAAATAATTAAATTGGCGTGATGATTGGTGAACAATGATCGTCTTCACGATCGCTGTAGGTATCATGTTCTTATGTTACATTATTTTCACCTGCCCTGAACTTCAAAGAGAAAATTTAGTTAATTTTTAAGAAATTAATAACGTAAGTACTAAGTTGTAGTACTAACAATAAGTTATAAGTGTTGAGCGATGATAATAGTTTGATTGTTTTTGGACCGATCCTACGCATCACCAGGGTTGGGAAGTAACTCGTTACTTGTAACGAAGTTACAGTTACTTTTCTTGGTAACTGTAACTTAACTTCGTTACTTTCTTTCCATCTCTAACTGTAACTTAATTTAGTTACAGTTTTTCGATAACTAGTAACTAATTTAATAGTTACATTAAGAGTTACTTTATATATTTTGTCAACCTCCACAGATCGCATTAGGCCTTGCGTTTGCGCATAAATGTTTTTATCGACACTTTCAAATGCAGATTTGATTTTTTTATTTTTATCGCAAGAAAGTAACTGCAAAGTAACGATTCGTTACTTTTTGAGTTACTGTAACTAGTTACATTTTAGCGAAAAATTGTAACTAACTACATACTTTTATAAAGTAACTTTCCCAACCCTGCGCATCACGTACACTGAAAAAAATTAATGTACTTTTACATATAGAAATTACTTGTTCAAATCCGGAAAATTACCTAATTATAACTGTAATTTTTATTTCCAGATTTCTTAAAGTGAAAATACATATTAATGGTAAAATATAGGTGAAATATAGGTGAAATTACTATTTTTGTGTAAAAACACTTGAATTTTCATGCAAAATTACAGAAAAAAGTCTGCAATTTTCCATGTGGGTAGTAATATTGCATGATTATGCTGGGTCGGAAAAAACCCAGCATAATCATGTAATTTTACAAATATTTTTTTCAGTGTAGGTAACAGTTGAAACAAATATGTATGTCGTTTGTTTATGATTTTGCTAATTTTATAATATTATTACGTTAACACGTCAAGTTTCCCTGATAAATTTCTTTTTACATAATTATAACTGTAATTGTATTTTACTCACATTTTTGAAAATATGATTTCGAATGTAGTGACGTTACTTTAAATTTTCTAGCAGGCGTACAAAAAGTGAGGTGATGGATAAGTGGTTTTGATAATTGTCTATTGAAACTGCACTGATATAATACAATAATCAATTAAATGTATAACACAATAGAATATGGTCTTAATTATGTAAGTAGGATAAACCAAATAGTATGAGTCTAGATCTGGGACAGACTGTAAGATGAATACGAAGGAAACTATAATATATCAATTACCTCTGGAAATTAGTGCGATACAGCGTTGTTTCTCAAACCAAAGCAAAAAGCAACTTTATTATTATAACTACTGTGTTTCTTTGATTGCCAATTATCTGTATATATTATAGTATTATGTGTGTATAAAGTAATCAAATAAATTTAATGAAACTCAGGAGAAATGAGATCCTTCATACAGATCATCTGTTTCTCGTTACACGCGAGGAGAGAGAAACGTTTTCTTTCATTGGAACAAATTATGGGCGCGTCTCACATATTATATTGTACTCTTGACATATATTGTCGCAATGTGCATAACGTGGAACCGAAGGAATGCAAAGTGTTCGCGTGTGCGAAAAGTAACTGAACGCCGGATCGTGCATGCAATTGATCTTGTTCTGCCGCTCTTGGAGGTGTCTATCCTGTCCAGCCTCGCGAGCAAGAGTCGACTTCAGTTACGTCAGTCGTGTCTCGCACGGCGTCTCAAGCGTGAAGAAATACTCTAACATTGTTCCTTTCTTGTTTACAGGACCCACGTACGGATCGCGGGAGCCGCAAGACGCAATGCCATTGATGTCGCTAACGCCGCTAACGCCGCTCGTGTGCCCGCAATGCGGGCGAACGTACAAGATGAAGCGCAACCTGAAGACCCATATGAAATTCGAGTGCGGCGGCCAGAGGAACTTTATGTGTCACTTGTGCCCGTCTAAGTACACGCAGAATATCAGTCTGCGTCGTCATCTTTTACAGAGACACAATCTCTATATGCCGCCAAAGTTCTCGGTACCTAAGCGTATAAAATTTACAATGGAACATCCAGATTTCGGACAATTTAGATAATTTTAGCAATAGGATTAATGTTTTTGACGGACGGATCACATTAACTGCTGATTTGTCCACAGTTCCTCTAGACTGAGTAAAGATATTCTCGCGAATTCACGATTTCTTGATCGAAAAATCTCCGAATAAAAAAATTTTGAAAAAAAAATACAGTTTGATATGTAGTTATAAAGTAGAAAACATATATATTGTGGTTGAATGGGAAAACATACATACAATAGTTCGAAATTGAAAACCCATTAGTTTCTCGAAATGATTACAACTCTCTAAAAGTCAATCGGTGCATTGTAACTGTGAATCAGTGAATATTCACCGTTTTCAGTGCTCATTCACTGATTGACTTTTAGAGGGCAGAAACTTTTTATACCGACTTTGTATTTTATTAATTAGTTAGTTTGTCTCAGGCTTAAACATTATTAGGTTTGACTTTAGATGTATCTATCTATTATTGTACTTTTTAATATGTACCTATTTTTAGGAGAAACGTAGGTTTTATGTAAAGAATCAAAGAATGATGCTAAAAGGCCTCCTCAATGAAGCATTCACATATTGCAAAATGTTGAACTTGTAATATGTAGGTAATGTTTCAATTTATCAACATATAAATCTCCAATTTAAGAAACAAATCGTTGACGAAAGTTTTGAAAACAAGGCTGAAGTGCATAATAAAATCTCGACTGAGTTGTTCAGAAAATTTGCCTGAGAGAGACATGCGATATATATGTAACTTGTAATAAATTTTTGATAGACGATCGTGCACGATTTATTGTTCCCTCCCCATCTTGAAGAAAATGCTACCAGGAGTCGCAGTCAGAAATACGTGTTATTGGTGTTGATTCGAGAAACCCTGGTTGCATTTACCGCGCTCGATACTAACCGACTATTCTTCTTTTGCAGAGCCGCTGTCGGTTGCCACGCGGGGCTTCGTAGATGAAACCCTCAAGAATAATGTGGTCTTCACTTGCCATCAGTGCGGCAGAACGTATCAAATAAGACACAATCTACTGAAACATCTGAGATACGAATGCGGCGGGCAGAAGCACTTCGCATGCTCGCTGTGTCCTTCTAGATATACCCAAAACGGCAAATTGCGACAGCATATGCTGAACGCACACAACGTTATCGTGCCCCCGCGAAAGAGTTTATATTGGCGAACAATTAGCCGTGTCGCTTTAACAACAAATCGGACGCGTTGTCTAATACAAAGACAATTTGCCAATCCTTAGTTTTCTCTATACTCATTAGAAGGAAGTTTTTATTCCAATTACGATGGTTAATAAAGTACGCAACTGAATTTGTTCGGCGAAGTTCGACGCATGGTGTGAAACAGAAGCATAATAGTTGTAGATTATTGATATTATCGTAGCCGATTAACGGCACTGTTGGTAGGCTTTATTTTTGTAACAGGTTGACGCATGATTAGTCCTTTTAATAACCCTTTGATTTGTGATTTTTTAGACTGTTGCATCGGTTATATTTCTTCAACGTGCAAAACTTCGATGAGTTCTGACAAATAAAAATTGTTTAAATCTAGTCTGTGAAATTGTACAAAGTTTCTTACTATTGTTTTGCGAAACTTAAAGATATTCTGTGTATACAATAAATACAGAATTTCAGATTTCTTCTTGTAAATTTTTTATCTCGTTTCGCTTTCAAAGTGTAGCTTTTGGTTTGAAACCTTCCAAAATGTACGTTAAAAATAGCATGGTTATATTCTTGAAAAATTTATAGTTGATTTTTCCGAAATGGAAGTATAGTTTAGACTGGTATTTGTCTTGAATTTGAAGACATAAATTGTCAGACTTCTTTTGTGGAAGAATCAAAGCTGAATTATTTCAAGAATCTAATTTTGCTATTTATTATTTATGTTACATGTTCTTTCAAGATAATTGTATGCAGTCGGAAATTGTGACCGACATCTTTAGAATAAAATATAAGAATCATGTAAGTACGATATTTATTGATTGTAAGTAGCTCTGCGAAATATATTTCTTCAAGGCAGAATGTCTGTACTTGAGGACAGATACGATTGCCAGATTGTTCCACGGTCATCCACTGGGCTCCATAAATCACATAAAACGAGGGGAAGAACAGTGTGCGAGCTCCGTTTCGCGATTCCACGTACTAATCAGCGCATGAACATTATTTTTTCAGGTTTTTACGAGAGCTTCCAGCCTCCAGAAAATCCTGCGGCCTACGGTCGAAAAGCTTACGCCACGCCCACGAAGATCGCCAAAGTTAGAACGAGTGCGAGGTCTCCCGGCAACGCTGAAGATCAGACACTCCAGTGTTCCGCCTGCGGGAAAAGGTACTCACTGAAGCACAACTTGGCAAGACACGTGCGCTTCGAGTGCGGCGGTCAACGCAGGTTCTCCTGTCACCTCTGCCCGAACAAGTACACACAGAACGTCAGTCTGCGTAGGCACTTGACGCATCATCACAACGTTTTGGTGCCCGTAAAGAAGAGATATAGCAACCCGAGGAAGATGTACGATCGATTCGTCTATCAATAAGAGCAACGTGCAAGAGGGCTCCGCGGGAAGATGATGCCGAGGACAAGTGGAGAATTGGAAGAACCTGTGCCAAAAACGCATCCCAAAGATCGGAGTATCATCGGGTTGAAGATAGACTAGACATCAAACTCGCCATGAAACTCGCGCAACAACGTGAAGAACGTTTTGTATAAATTTTTCGGGCATTGTTAACCTCTGTAGTTTTTTATAGTTACCAAAGTTAAAAAAAATCTTTACCTATATGCAATAATGTGTAATAATACATTATATTGAAAATATTACGTAATAATGTTTCAGCTTGAAAAGAGCAAGTTGATAATACATCATATTAGTACATTTTCCAATACATTATATTACTTTCTTAGAATCTGTTTCGTCACTTACACACATAGAGTATGAATCCAAAGAGAATTTTATCCATGACAAATGCTTGTGGAAAACGGAATGATGTTTCTGGCATTGCTCTTATGATGAACGAATCGGTACCTTGAGGCTTGTTCACGTAGGAAAAATGAAAATCCACAGCCATCCACTCGAGCGTTTGTCTGATTGATAAAATATTCTCGCTGTAATTTTTGCATGCTTAATAAAGTTCTTTATCAAACGATGCAAAAATGCTGTGACGAGAGTCGTGCTTAAGTTTGTCGATGCTTACGATTATTATTTTTTTACGAGGAACGTGATCTCTTCATCACCCGCATTCGAACAATCTAGAATTTCGCCCCACGAAAAAAAAAACCAATCGCTCGTCCGTCGATGTATCGCACGCGCACGGACGCATCCTCAGAGTAACTTTTTCTTTCATTCAGCAGGTTTCTTGGGATCCCGCTTTACGTGTCGGAAATGTGGACGGGGCTACACGATGCTCTGCAATCTGCGCAGGCACATGAAATGGGAATGCGGCGGAAAACGCTATTTCCCGTGCTACTACTGCAGCAAAAGTTTCACCCAGAAAACGAGCCTACAACGGCACTTAACGGGGGTCCATAATATCGACATCGTCAATGGGACAGAACCTAATCTCATGTTGTAGACCGTTTACCGTTATAGATACATCCCAGATCCTAATCACGATTCCTAAGAAACTAGAAGATATGTGATCGACCATGACTCTCCAGCTTAAAATAATCCATCCGTTTGATCCCTCCTTTTTCTCCCTTGACAAGTTAGTCATTAATCAATGATTAATAGATTCAATCGTTGAAGACAGATTAAGCGGCTCGATGTCGCTTTAAGTGTGCAATTGAGTTATTCAGCCGATCGTTCGATCGATCGGATGAAATTTTCGACGACGCGTCAAACTCCTTTTCGTGCCCTTTCTCGAGAAATCGAGAGGTGTCGAAACGTGGTCGCGGGCTAGCGCGGATCAGGTGTCGATCGTTAAGACTCGCGTCTGGCGATCTCGGTCAGCAGGGTGAGCTCACGACTAACACGACTGTCATCTTCGTCTTCTTCCAGGTATGGGCTGGATGACCGTTGCTGCGCCCCGAAAGTCGCGACACTCGAATTATTTGAAGGACGAGGACCTCGCCCTCAAGTGTCCGCAGTGCGGCCGGGGTTACAAGTTCAAGCCCAGCCTGTCGAAGCATTTGAGGTACGAGTGCGGTGGCCGCAGAAACTTCAGATGCGATCTGTGTGGGCGCAGTTTCACGCAGAACGTCAGTCTGCGCCGTCACCTGATGCAGAACCACAACTTTTATCAGCCGCCGAAGAAGCAATGCATTCGGAAGATCCTCAAATGAAGAACTCGCCGTCGTCTCGCTAGCGAAGATCGTCCGCTCTTGGAACGCGCGGCTGTCCCGGCTGTCACCTCGGAAGCGAAAAGTCCTGCGACGACATCTCCGTGAAGAGTGACTCAAGTGCACAAGCCTGTTTAAATGACTGTATGACCTCCCGTGTCTTCTCATGAAGATTGTTCGTAGTCTACCGTCGAAGATTCTAGCACCCCTTAGAAGATTAAGTAAAACTTGTAACGTGTACACCCCAAACCACACAGCGAACCTTATGCACACCCGAAGATCATCGCACGAAAAACATGGCTATAAATACAATATATGATCCGCGCGATTCGACTCTTACAGACTGGATCGCAGATCGTTAATAGAGTTGTAGACGCAGGTAAAATTTCGTGCCTAGATCAAAACAATAAATAAGTAAATAATACGAGGTCATTTGTTGCCTCCATGTTTCCCAATCGCTTTAAAACGAGTTCTTCCAGAAACATTTTTTTAACTTTTGTAACGTTTTGTAATATTTATTATCAATATTTCTTGAAATCTGTAGTTGTAATCAAAATGCATTTAAAGTCTTTATTATTATTGCGACACATATGCCATTCTTAATTTTCTTCTCGGCGCCGTCCTATGCCGGGAACTCCATACTGTCACCACGTATTGTGGTATGTATTTACAACTATTATTATAAAAAATATACCATTCTTTCTGTTCTCCCGCGTCCATCCCGTCTATAACTGAAGTTGCGAAATCGCGTGTTCTTTTAATTCGTGCGTTAAACTTCTGTTATTTAATTTCATGCATTCTTAGATAATCCGCGCATCGATCGTTCTAGTTTTGAAAACTATTTCTACGCGTATTCCTCTTTCGTCAATCTTTTCGATTTTCGATCTCCTTTTTTTCTTATCGATTTACGATAAGTTTCTCACCACCCGCGAGACTCGATGTACTCAGATTTATTTACAGTTCACCATAAACTAACAGCTTGATTAATCTTTAATCAAAAAATCCGCGATTTTCTAAATATTTCGAACTGGTCGTATTCATCCCGCTGTGTCCGTCCTTCCTTATGTATAATAATAAAGCTTTTATTTTTTTTGTCTTTTCTGCCTAAACCCGATCCCATCACGACCCCCCTTAACATCGCCACTTTGATTTTCAGATAACAAGTCCAAATTCTCGGAATTCCTTCGAAACTCGTCGATATCGCCTATGGCTGCGATTGATCTCACCACCAACTTCAAAACCGGCTGCCATCATCTGCCGCCAGCCTCTACGCCTATGTCTTTAGAGCATGCAGAGCCTGAGGCGCCTGCAGTGCCTGCAGTGCCTGTAGCATCTGTAATGCCTGTAACGTTTGGAACGCAGAACTCGTGCATCTGGAGATCGCAGACACGCAAGATGTACATGTGCCCTGATTGCGGCAAGGGTCTCTCCCACAGATACACCCTGGATCGCCATCGCAAGACCGTCTGTGGCAAGGTTCGCAACATCAATGGCAAGTGGAAGTGTAATTTTTGCGGCAGGAGATACGAATCCCAGGGGAGCCTGTCGCGTCATTATAGATTCGAGTGCCGTGTGGACCCCCAATTTCGCTGCATTTTCTGCGAGAGCAAGTTCACCCAGCAGTGCAGCTTGAGCAGGCATCTGAAGAAAAAGCATACCGAAAAAGGTAGCATTGATTCCGGGTTTGGTTCCGAGAAATCGATGTGCATATCGAAGTAGACCAACAACACACTGCTTTGTAATAAACAACAATCCGCGCGAAGCGCAGGAGGATCGCGCGAGCAGGTTACGTGGCGCCGGAAATGGCGCTGCTAAATTTATTCTTGCCAAGAAATCCGTCGATTGAAAGAATGTGAGACGACTGGGTGTAATTAGACACAAGAAGCATCAGTAGTTATTGTTGCTTTGGAAAGTTTTTTTCTTATTGAAAAACAATTCTCAAATGAAATGAAAGTGAGAGCTCAATTATCGTTTAAAAAATATATTGGGTAAACGAGATTGGGTGAAAAAGTGCTACTTCAGAGTAAGCAAATAGTTCCTTGAGAAAAAAGTAAAGAAAATGAGCTTTAAATCGATTAGGAATTGAATTTTTTCGCTATTTGAGAAAAAAGTGATATCTCGGGACAATTTTAGTGTACGAAAAGGTTCCTCGTGAAGAAAGTTTTGTTATGATAAGCGTCCCATGTCGTTATTAATAAGGTTTTCTCAAATTATCGCGTTCGGATGATCACGAGCGTACTAGGTTTTAAGGAAAGCCGATAAGATTCGCTTTTAAACTTTTAGAAATATCCTTTTCGTTAGGAACAAGAGTTCAGACATCATTTCAAACGGTAAAGTACGAGTCCTTTGAAAATTTTTCCTTGGTCAAAAAGTAATTTAGATTTCTTCTTCTAAATTTCTCTGTATGAAGAATTGGGTTTTTGTGTGTGACTAGATATTTTATGATAACAAAACTTTGGTATCAATCTTTTAAAATTGATCCTTTTAATGAATAAAAGTTATAAAATAAGTAAAAGTAAAAGAAATTATGAAGAATACATTGCTGCTCAATTTTTAACATACAAGTGCTCATGTTATCTTTATTTTAGCTGGTCAATTTAAACTTTTCGCTTATACTTGGCGCGAGACACTACCGTGTCTCGTGATTAGTAATCTTATTCCGTTTATCGTGATGTTGTTAATCATTATATTATATAACGTTATTCAACAAACCTGTATGGGTTGTATAATATTATATAATACCATGCACCTTTACATGCACATTTAACATATCTTTTTTTTAGCGCGAATTTTATGTAAACAGTCATAAATTGTCAAAATTATGTTAAAATTTTATATCATATTTATATTTTTGTGAAATATAAAACTTTGTTGCACTGTACATTTATATATAGATATCACTAATAAGAATTTCTTGGATTACGTCAAGATAGGCGACATATTTGGTCTCTCTTATGCACATATAGTGCCCTCAAAGTAACTTTCTATCGTTACATTGCAGCTTCTTCGCTAGTATAAATGATGAAAGAATGTACTATGACACAAGAACATTAGTTTAAAGATGGCCTTGATAAGATAGGTGAAATATGTTGTTAATCACGACTATAAACTACGAAATTCACGATAAATTTTGTCACATATAATAATACTATGAAAATTTAAATCATTAATAAAAAATGAGAATTATTTATATTTTTATTGACTATCTTTTCAATTTTATTAATTTGCTTTTGATTAAATAAAGTTCATGAAATTTAAAAAGCTGATATGTAATAGACACAAATTTGAAAAAATGAGGCTAAGGGTCGTGACAGAGTGTTAACTTCTAAATAATTTTTATTATACTATTAATTTATTGCGAAAAATATTACTTCAGTCAGGATACAAAGCTGGAACTTTCTACTCACTAGGCTGGCGTTTCGCCAGTCTCAGGTCTCAGTGGTCGAAACAAAAATATATTTTTCGCAATAAATGTATAATAAAAATTATTTAGACATTAACACCCTGTCACGGTTCTTAGTATTATTCTTTCGAATTAAAAAAAAAATTTTTATCATTTGATATTTTATGGAACACTGCACAGTTAAAATTATTCCCGTTTAACAATTAATACTTTTTTTAAGAGATAAAATGTCACTTGTATTTTTGGAAATTCCACATTATTTCTCTCATGATTATGAAACAGTTATTAGTTGCTATAATTTTCACATCACAGATTTGCACTAATTGGCAAATAATTATCCGTAGAAACAGTTTTTCCTTGGATTTCGGTTTTCACATATATTTGATAAGCTCGAAAAGCAGTTCTATAATGGAACTCGCGTGAATGAAATTCTTTGGCGAGCTATCGAATTACAGAAATCTGAACTCTTCGACTCGATCACGTTAAGTTACAATTTATGTGCGTTACACTTACGTAAGGTAAAGTTTAAGACTGTTCGCGATTATCTGTTTGAGCGTTACGCTGTAATGCTAAGTACGGAAAGAGATGATAAGAGGAGAAGTAATTAGCGACGCGTCAGAAGATAACAATGAGGAATAAGATGCTGCATCTGGAAACGATTTTACGTGCTCTTTTCTCAAAAAGTGTCTTATAAGTGTTTGTAACGTGCACATCGATAATATATTGCAGCATAGCGCACAAGTATGCTTCGTTATTGATTTTTCAGAGTGTTGCTAGAGCGAGAATATCGCGCGTTTGTCAGTATCTGTCAGCATGTAGCGTAGATGTTTGACGTTACGTTTTATCCGCTTTCCCGTTTTATGCGTTTGAGGCGGAATACGCTTTGAGTTTTGAATTGCGAAGCGTGAATCTCAATCCGTAGCGACGACCAGTTCATCGTCGCACACGCTACTGTAGGTTTTGCGTAAAAGTAGGATGTACACAGGTCTTCTTATGTCTCTAACTCGAGTATCTCGGTACTTTAACACTGTGCTAATTACTCGGGACAGTTTTTTCTTCTCACCACTTATTTACTACACTGATACAACGGAGGGGATTTAGGCTAAGATAATACACAATGGTGCACTTAAGAAAGTTTTTTAGTGACATACGAGCGTTGCGATTCGAATTAAACTCGATAAGGTGGTTTTCGAGCGATGTACAATGTCGAGTAAAATTATGAAAACAGGTAAACACGCGGTTTACCTCCATTTGTGATGGCTAAATCTAATTTTCGTACATCTGCGATGAATCAGAAATTATTTGTTACATTTGTGCGTTTCGGCTGTGAAGATTATTGTTAAAAACAAATTACTGATTTAAAAAAATTTCTTTAATGTAAAGTCAATTTTAAGAGAATTTTATTCTTATTGATGCGTCATGTTTAGATAAGAAGTAAGCGAAGGAAAAAGGAGATAAATAGAGAAACGTTCATGAGAAACATTCATAAGACAATCGTCGCATCTGCATATGAATCTGAATCTGAATTTGCGGAACGTTCGTTTGCATTGAGCAATACGTTAAATATATATACGTTACGGATATATCTTGTATATCTTGCGATACACGAAGGGAGTACAACCTACGACGAAATTTTGTTGTTCTGTAAAATGTTACTTATGCATAATAAAATCATACGGTTTACACACGCCCCGCTGTTTCATTAAGTGTCTCCGGCTATTTTGCGACAGGCCGCGCACTACGTTCCATCAGCTGTGACACTTCAGGGGAATATCTTCTTCCGTTTCTCCACGTTCTTCGGGATATAACTCGTTTCTGCGATCGTATGCAGAGGGAAATCCGTTCGCTTGTAATCTCTCTTGAGTGCAATTCCTTCTGGTCGTGAAAAAAAAAAGAAAATGCGACACGTCTCTCCGAATTCTGCAGTTTTCTCTTTTCTCTTTGAAGCACTTGAATTTGAGGATTCTGTCGTGCGCCCATTTGTCCATCGTTGTCTGTCATGTACAAAAATATTTTGCGTTTTGCGATAAAGCATCTTGAAATAGGCATCCGAGATAAAGCTGAGTAGAGAAGAACAATTTTGAGAATTGACTTTTCCAAATGAACATCTCTTTCTATTTATATTTTCTATTTTTTTCCTTTATTTTTTAAGGTTCTTGGAGACACGCTGCATTCGACGCTGTTCTTGGTAATTGTATTTGATCAGTCAGAGATCTTCTTGTTATGAGATTGGAGTGAACGAGATAATGAGTCAATGTTCGTGATTTGAAAGGACCATCAGGTTCAGTCCTGTATTGTCAGATTATCCTGTATAATTCTATCTTATCCTCTCTTTTCCTCGTATCCTATCTTATTCACTCTGTTCCGCAAACGTTTGTCATTATGCTTACATGAGACTCTGATCATGTTTCAGCCAAGCGACGATTCTGCGACGGATTGCCGCGTGACGTCTGGAGACTCTGCAAGGTCGAGCTGCGATGCCTCAAGTGCGCGAAACGGTACAGCGACTGGCGTAATCTGCGAAGGCACATGAACTACTTCTGCCAGATGGAACCGCTCTACCCCTGTCCATACTGCTCCCACAGAGCCAGGATACCCACCCTGTTGAAGTATCACATTGCTCGCGAGCATGCGGTTCCCACATCGAGGATGGAGATGCGTTAAAGTCACAATTACGGTTGCAGCATGGCGAAGGGGCGATACAGAGTGTAGAAATATATTTTCGATTAAACGCGAATGCACTTTCGCAAAAGCGCATCCATTTTCTTGAAAGTTTAACATTCGAATAATCCTCGTATTTTAGAAAACAAAATTAATTGTAATTGGGGTAAAAGTCTTGTTCTTCTCTCTTTTATTTAAATAAAGAATTGAACGACCAGTGACATGAAATTTTCACACAAGTCCGCACTCGCTTGCCGAATAAGGTTAGAAGAACTTTGAGTTAAACGTTTTGCTATTAAGAGTTATTATTAAATCTTAGTATTATAAATATAATTTAATTTGTTTAATTAACTTTGTACGTTGAATTATCGTGTTATAAATCATAAATTAAATAAAATATTTTAATCGCGGGAGAAATTTTACTTAATTTGTCTTACTCAATCTTACTTAAGTTACAATTGTTACGACTTATTTGTAATAAAATTGTATTAATATAGTTGCAATTGTATTAGCAAAGATACCTCCAATTCCCACTTCCTAAGTACCTCGAATTTAAATTGAGTTTGGCTGTATTTAAGAAAACAACGAAGGCGAAGTAAAAATCTTATTTTTCATTTCAGATATTTCGTAATAAATATGCAACGTGTTCATTTCGATGTTCATGTACATGGGTGTATCGTTGTACCTCGTTTTCGTTACAGGTTTCGCTGACTTTTATCGGAGAACGCAGAAATTTTCCTCTCGAGTTCTCCTCGAAAGTGACTTCTGACTATTCTAATATTCTTGCATCTAATTTGTAGGATTTTATCCGGCTGTGCCGGCGACCTAAGGATCTCGAGGAGGATCAGGACAAGCCTAGGGTAAAATATGGAAAGCAAGTCTCCAACGTCACCTGAGCACCGTATGCGACATGCCGCCCAGCCTTTCTGCGTAACCTGCGGATATATCAACTGCTTGGGAACATATTGCACGTGCATATGATACTGCAATGATGCTGAGGAGGAACGCGAGTTCCGTATACCGATACGCATCCCGATCTCCTACAGACAATTGTTGATTTTGTAGCACGTTCGAAGAAAATTTATGTACGCACTGTAAACGATGCATCTGTTTTGCAATCGGTACATATCAGATAACATGTATCAGTGTATACCATTAACATACATCCCCTAAGCAAAATGTATATTAAATGTCAGATATGTAATATCTGAAGTCCAGTCTACTAAACGTCAGTGCATTTTCTGACATATCAGAAATATGTATATTATAAAATGATACAATATCATGAAAAGTGAATAATGAGCGATGTTTAGTGAGTTACGTATAGAAATCTTTCCGATTCCTCCCTCATTTGGTTTTGATTTATTTTTTTTTAATTTGGCTATCTTAGTATTCATTTACGCTTTACCGATGCAACCATATCTTAATATGTACATATAGATTAGTGTTGCCGTGATAATTAAACGATGTAATAAGGTGGATTATTTGATTAAAGTTAACAATTTTCAGGGATCTCGTGCATATTTTGCTTTCGACGTTGAGCAAAATCAAATTTCGGACTTTATATGTTATGGCTCACGAGCCTTATATGTCGTGGCCGGTATTGTTTAATTAATTCTTTTTTTATTTAATCCTGTAAAATAGCTGAGATGTTAAAATCGAAGCTGTTTAAATTTATAGAAATAGTTGCCATTCGGCTTGTATGACGTATGATCGCATTGATCAGTTACATACTATGTGACAGTTCACGGCGATTAGACAATCGTAGGCCTCTTTTATGCGAGCAATTGTTTGTAATTGTCCCCATAAGGCGAACACAGCTACATCGTAGCTTCCTTCATATGTTTCAGGCTACAGCGGTGCGAATAACTACGATTTCACGTATCTCATGCACAAGCGACACGTATGCCCTCATTGCAAGAAAGTCTTCCTACCGAAGAGTCTGTTAAAGAGGCATATACAGTTCGGTTGCAAATTGAATCCGCGTAACACCACGTTCTCCTGCTCCTTCTGCCCTTACAAGAGTATGTACAAGGCGAACATGGAGAGACACGTGAGAAACGTTCACAACACCGGGTCCCTCAAGTTCTTTTGCGAGCTCTGCAACTTCCGCAGCAATTACTCCTACTGCATTCGCAGACACATGAGGACCTTCCATCGCATGGACGAATCTCAGAAATAGACTACGATACCATCCTTCGTAGATTTGTTTGTTTAATCCTTACAGATGTACAATGGATCGTATTCTGAATATAGTTGATAATGCGTTACGTCATCATACATCAGCGCTTCTTTTTCAGTCTTCGAATGAGTGGACGGAGAACAGTTTATGGTTTCTCGACGATCAGACTTTTCTGCATGTTTTAGAACTTGAATATAATATGGCACGGCATATGTATGTATTTGTAGTAGATGCGCTCTTCCTTGTCCATATTTAAAAACGTCGGACCAATAAACAAATAACAGAGAAGATATATACACGGTGACTTATCTATTCTTGCGCAAATTCGACTATTAATTTATAGATTATCGCATTTTTCACTATTGTAATGCATGAGACTGTGCAATAAGCCAAGAATGCAGATAACAATAGTAAGAGAATAAATATTATTTTTCTCAATTGTTTAGTGAACTTACTATAATATTTATATAATATATACTACATAAATAATTATAAAAATTACAATATATTATATAATTCATCTACCGCCATCGTACCTCAATTTAATTACAAGTAATCGCGTGAACAAATACGCACATGATGATGTAATTTTTCTTTAGCGCCTGTCTGAAATCGAGATTCTTACCAACTAACCGTCTACAATCCTCTGTGTACGAGTAACTTTATGTAACTATTTTTACGTAGATTGCGAACGCTCAAGATTCGCCAGATTTAATTTGCAATCCATTGATATCTTTGCGGCTTAGAGAGAAAAAGAATTCCACAACGTATACATACATTCTGCGTTAATTTATTCTGAACTAAATTGATACAAGATATTAATCTAACCTATTGCAATTGCGATAAACGATTGTCATAAAAATGTCGGACAAGCCTTACATTTAATCTAGATCCCATCAATTTAGACTCGAAAAAGAAACGTATGAAATGTAAATAATGAAGTTTGGGTATTGGATTGCTCTATATTTTTGTATTTGCTCAGTCGGATTCAAATTATTTTTCTGACTAATGTTGCATTAAGCTGCTTTTTAACAAAATTTTATATTTTTAATGTTAACTATAATTCTGCACATTATTTTTATTGAAATATAAAAAATACCTAAGACCTATGTATTGAAAGATTTAGGAATGATTATTAAATACGTGAGATATGAATAATCAGAAAGTCTTTTAGAATTTCAATGACATAGGCAATTAAGCCTACATAAAAAAAAATGCGCTTTGGATTATTGCTCTTATAATAAAGCTGTAATTCTATAATGGGCAAGTTATAAAATGTGAAAACATAAAAATCTTAATAATTGCATGTCGAACTTGTTTTCATTGACGTGTCTTTATTGATGCTAATAATCATAATTGTGTTAAATTGATGATAAATACAAATTGACAATTGTAAAATATGTGCCAATTATTTTCTTCCTATCAAATTTTCTATTTCCACCTCTGCTTCGGGGCACGCGCATATTTAATGTTCAAATTTCTTTTGTAAGTTCTACTTTAGTTTATTTTACACGCATAGAAAATTTTTTAAATGTAAGATTAGAAACCGCGAAGTAGGATCGTACATTAAAAATAATGTGTAATTTACATTACATTGTATTTAATTTTCCTATTTAATTTTGAATAGTTCGAAATATTTATTAGAAATGTAAATGTAATGGAAAATATAATAGAATAATTTTATATGAGAAATTTGTGGTATATCTAATCCTTCATTAATATTCAAATGTCATTAAGGATGAAGTCAATATACTTTGAAACGTTTTATGTGCATTATGAAATGAAATTAATCCTTACAAATAAATATTAAAATTGCATGCAAGGGAAGCCATGTGTCTGATTCAATACAATTAGAGAAAATGTATTTTATATATTAGAAGTACAATTTTATTTTTCTTATTCTATATTTATTTCTCGTAATATGTAGAATAGAATTATAATTTTTAAGATTTAAATGAAATTTTAATAATCCCGAAATTTTTTAAAATAATTTTATTAAAATTATTAGAACTAGAATGATTTTCTACTATTATTACGTAATTATTTTAATTATTATTACTTTAGCTTATGTACGCACACGCGATATTTTTGTTAAAATTTTAATAAATTAATTACATATGGTGTAAAGTGATTGCGACTTGGTGCTAGCAGATTACTACTATTAACCAATTCTTGACGTTATTGTTTCAGCCTTGTTATGGCACACATACTCCTCTCTTCACAAGAAAATTCGTAGATGCAACATCGGCAGAGGCACGGCGTTACAAAGACAAGAGAAACCTGTTAATATAATACGCAAGCAGATTTACGTCTGCCCTAAGTGCGGCAAGGGTTATACGTTGAAGATAAAACTCTTGAGACATCAGAAGTTCGAATGTGTGAAAGTGTGAGGCCGACATTTATCTGTGAGGTTCGCCCGTACAAGTGGTGTTTCTCAGGTACAGGAAAAGGCATTGCGCAAACGCCTTCTAAAATTAATTTTTTACTACAACTAGCTTTCGCACTCCTGGCGATTTCCGTCTCAGCAAAAATGACAAATTCTTTCGAACGATACCGGCGACGCTATATCGATATCGTTTGTCAAATTTTATTTCAGAAGTAACATTGCTTTCAGAATTAATATTCAACCTGGATACACTTGTGCCTGACGTCGCCAGTTGCTCTTATTAACGAATCTGACATTGGTGTTTCAGCATTGTGGCACAAAAGGACTCACGGATACGACGTCGGCGATACGCAGTATCAGCATCGAGAAAGTACCATCTACCAAACGCGCGAGAGGACTTACGTATGCGCGGATTGCGGCAAAAGTTACGCAGTGAAAAGATCTCTCTGGAGGCACCGAAAGTTCGAGTGCGTGAACGCAAAGCCAAGGTTCAGTTGTGACATATGCTCGTACAAAAGCCCCCACAAGTGGTGCATGGACAAACACAAGAAGAAGCATCACAACACCAATTACAATCGCTTCCTTAATTAGATTTGACCAGCTCTCGTAACGCTATCGAACCAGTTTTGAACGTTGTGATAAAAATGATTTCCTTTTCAATATAAGATTTAATTTTGCTATTCACAGATGAGTGGAGGCTCGACACGTGGAAGTACAATACATTTTATTTGGTCGCGCAAGCATTCTTCGCGTGACTTCGAAATTGATCTTCTCGTACATTAAATTTGAAACAGAAGTTTCAGGATTATATAAATAAATACAAAGCAGCTTTTTCGTTCTATGACGTGACGTTGCCTCTAATCTTTTAATTATCGAATGCCATAATTTTTCTATAATGCTATAATTTTCCCATTTTTAGATCCATAAAAGATCTTACTATATATTTAATCGACAAAACGACTTGTAATCTGCATGCAGGTTACATTAATGATATCAATATTAGTAATTAATTTAATCGTTATATTATTATTGTAATATTCTCTAGTTGGTATTCAAGTCGACAGTCTCTAGTATTACTGTCGCATTCTTTTTTTATAAAGCGTTTTGAGTTTTATTATCGAAAGACTGCAATATATTTATGGAATTATGGGTTTTTGAAAGAATTTTGTTAAGTACGTTAGTATATCTATGTGTTATGGAGTTACTGATTTCAATTTATTCAATATATCGTTATTATTATTTTCTGAAAAATGTATCAAAGAATTTATTCTTTAAAACTTTTCGTAATGTTTCGTCAAAACTTTATCAAATTTATATGATTATTATGTGATTTATAAGTTATAACCATATCATGTAATTGTGTATACATGACTATATTATAGATGTGTGATTATGTAATGTTAAACGTGGAATAAACTGAAGGTTCTTTTTATAGCAGGTATAATATCTATTGTTTTGTTGCGTTTTTCGCTTTTATCGTTTTCAGTGATACTTTGAAATCTACGTTAAGTGTATTCGTAATATATTATTAACAATAAGACATGTGCATTACGAAATGTATCGACAAGTAATAATTTTATAAAAAATATTCGTCCCTCAGGTATACTTTACACAATAAAATGAGTAAAATCGGAAAATACAATCTGGATCACGGAAATAAAAGAATTGAGAATTTGCCAAGAAGAAGCTGAAAGAAAAGAAAGTGGGGTATAGTTTTGAACGTAAAATGGATGAGATAGCAAATTAGTAGAAAAGAATTAAACATAGAAGATATTATGATATATAGCTATTTGGTATTTTTGTTTTTCAATTTTTCCTTAGGCAGTCTGCGTATTCGCAAATTATATTAAACAATTTTGAAAAAATCAGAATGTACTCGTTACTCTTGAACGACGAAAATGAATCGTTTTGGATTTTTATCTACAATAAATTACTGTGTAATGTTTATGCAGATTTAGGACAAAATTAATCGTAGAAAATATAAAATTAAACTCGGCTCTATGTATCTATATACGCGTTCAATAAATGTACATTTTTAAGTTTTCAACTATAACTGATTTGCGTATGAAATACTGAAAATAATATACGTTTAGATATAAGAAGCACTTTGTAATTGCCCATCAAACCATCGAAAACTGACATTTCATACTTTTCAGGAAAGCCTGAAAGGACTTTTGCTTCTTGAAATTTATTTGTGTATTGGAATATAATTATAGATTCTTCAATGAAGAAAACGAACGAGAGAAAATGCAATGTAATACAAACTAGGAAATATTGTTTAAGTGTTAGATATGTTAACGCGAAAGTTCTTTTTATCCAGTTTAATTTGTGAACTGTAGTCGTTAAGTTTCGTGGCAATTTCGTAATCTTAAAATATCTAAAAGCGAATTAATGTTTGTATATATTATCTCAGCAATGATTGCTTTAATAGAAACATGTTTGGCGGCTTGGTAAATTGAATTCTAATCCTTACGATCCCGAGTCAGGCTCCTTCTAAAACTTATAGAGTAGTTGTCCTTGTGTGAATTATTTGCAAAGTTTTCCGAGCTTTCGTTGATTTTTAGGATGGCTTTTAAATTCTAAGGGACGCAACAAGCTTTCGGAAAGAGCAAATTTCCGATCTTCTTATGGCAAGAAATATTCGTCTGAGATAATCAGAATCCTTAGTTTGATTTATGAGATTTAATTGATTATAAATTTGATTATTTTCACGTTTTATTTCAATTCAATTTAGACTGAATTCAAACATTCCATGCTTTTTGCAAATGTCAACAGACAAGTTATTTCTCGATATAGACGCATTGTTTCTATTGAATGTGAACGTTTCGAAGTCTTCTCTTCGTTGTATCTTCATCCGAAGATTAGCCAGAATTATGTATCTACAAATATGAAATGATTACATCTCATAAGTCAGACTGGTCGTTGCTCTAGACAGCCGCGAGTGCTTTCATCGTTTCTATCTTGATACTGCTGTTTTTGTTGAATTTTTCTTTCGCGAGGCTTGAACGGCGCAGTCGGCTATCGCTCAACCAACTAACTTGGTCCCTCTGTTTCCAGCTTACCGGAAGATGTACATGGGCGATCAGGTTCTCGGCTATACTTGCACTATGTGCAGCAAGTTCTACAAGATGTGGAGCAACTATTTGAAACACAAATGCGAGCCACCGCAATTCAAGTGTCCTCTGTGCCCGTTCGCCGCCTTCAAGGCTTTCATCCTGCACGCTCATCAGGCAGAGCAACACTTTAAGGTCACTTCGCCGAACACTTAAACGACCTACGGCCAGATCCAGATCGGGGAGGAATTATTAAATTGCCTTAGTCGTCGTTACGATTTTTTGTGGCACGTGTGTGCCGCTGCCGTGACCGTCAAACTGTTCTCGAGAATTTTTGCGGCTCCGAAATGCAAGGATCTATGAGCGACTCGTTTCGAGACGTCGACGACCGTTTTCTATGTAGTTCCGATTAGAAATCTCGAGGAAGCATTTTCTCCGAAGAGTATATTTTTCCTAAACTCGCCGCGAAGGCGATGAGGTAGTTCCCGAGTCGTCATCATAGGATAGTACGACATATTCTATTAGCTAATAAACAGCGATCGGCGCATTTGTCGTGAAGGGAATCAGATCTCACAGATGAACGGTGCAAACAAATTTATAAATGATATAGAAATAAAATGGTCATTTGTAGTATACCTTTTTTCTCCCTTTATTATGTAATTATGTATCGTAGCAGTGCGACCAAAATGTGCAGAAATATCATACGATAATTCCAGTGTAATAAGTAGCGTAGTTTAAATATGATAAACCATAACGGAAACAAGACTGAATGACAATAATAAGGCTTAGGGGATGCGTTATCTCTCATTTGCATCGTGCTTTAAAATACCATAAACTTATAAATGCTTATCTCTTTAGTGAACAAAGGGATGTGATATACCTTTGGAAGAGTCGAAAATATTCACCTCGCCGCATCAAAGGCCAAGCATTGGAAAGAACAAAGTATACTATAAATGAATAGTTTGCCCACACCGAGGATCGGTACTGAGATCTGATGATAGATATTGCTGTCAACACTATAAACTGTCAATTCTCCCCCCCTCTCCCTCCCTCCCTCCACTCCTCCCCCCTCTCTCTCTCTCTCTGTCGCTGCATACATCAATCTCAAAATTTTATGCCGGCACGGAATGTCGTGCCGGCCCGCTTATACAAACATGATCCTAAAAATACCGTATAATCTGTAGTATTTATAAATGCATGTATTTTCGTAATACCAACAATAAAGTGTCAGAAAAGCATCAAAGGCGAAAGGATAATCTTATTTTCAATTAGCAAGTCAACGCGATTATTATGGCGATCTTACTTTCGTCCCAAGTCGTTTGGCGGAACCTCGAAGTTTCACTTAATGATAACAGCACAAATCTTATTTTGACGAGGTAACAAATCTTTTTTTCTACTTAAAAACTTTAAATTACTTTTAATTAAAGATATTTTTGTAATTATACTTCTTGCAGAATTTGATTGATTTCTATCAATGTAAAACCTTTGTCCATCGTTACCGTTTCTTTCAGAACCGACCAACGTCGCTCTTGTTCTCCTCCAAGCACAATTTTTCAGGGTGTTACTAACGGATGATCGAATGCGTTCTCTGTTTCAGATCGCTCGACGGATTTGATAGGATTTCAAGATCCACCCGGTACGGAAAAAAAAATCGGATATATACCGCGCACGCAGAATGCTAATGTCAATGCTAATGCTTTTGTGGAGGCGAGAGCATTGTTGATTGTCGTGACGTGTGCGTCGAGACAGTTATTCAAGACGGCTTTCTTCCTTCCGTTTCAGGTTTCCACACGTGCTGCGAATGCCAGAAAACGTACAAGTCGCGGATGGCCCTGAACCGGCATGTGCGAGAGGAATGCGGCAGAATCTTGTATACCTGTCCGTACTGTCGCAACATCATGCCAATGAAGTTCAATCTATTGAATCATCTGAAGAAGGAGCATGGTTGCTAAGATTTATCTCGACGAGTGTTTGCCGAAGAAACTATTCTCTTGTCCGCTTCGCGATCGGTTCACGTTAATACCGTTTCTCTACGAACAAAACGAAACTCTCTTGAAGTTCGACGGCGAGACGTGACACTTGTTTACAGTACAACGTTGTGAACGATGAAAAGTAACACTTGTGTTCAAACTTATTGTGCTTCACAATTGTAATGTTAAAAATGGTACGAGGGATTTTCGGTGCTTCGTGGCGCGGAAAATTTATGAGATTTTATAGGTTGTAGCAGCATTTGCTGTGTAAAACCGAGTTTATTATTAACACAGATGTGCAAGTTAATAGATTATATTAAATAATTATCTAAAGCAAAAGTATCGTTAAGCGATATCTTTTGATGATAAAATATTGTAGAAATTATAATACACATTTTTCTGAAACATGGAATATTAATGTACTACTTATATTTATTGCGACATATGTTCGTTTTCTATTTTAAATTAAGTTTTTTAATTAATTAAGAGTAATTTTTTTCTGAAAAATCGCCTTTGCTTTTATAGACTAATGAAATTCCGCGAGTGATTTGTTTATTCAATCGATACGATTGTGCATATTTTTTTTCACCATACTGTAAAACTTAACTAGCTACACTTGTTTTCAATATCATCCAGAACGGGCATTAAAGCGAATATTTAAGAAAAACTTTTAGAAATCCAAAGATTTTCAATAAAGAAAGTCACATATTCAATGTTTAGCACTTTTATAAAACATCGTAATGAGAACTCCTTTGCATACAAAAAGTTACCAGGGATCTTAATTAAATAGCAAACAAACAATTGTCTACAGTGACAAAAATGTTCAAAGATGTAGTAAACATGTGATGCCAAGATTAATAATAAGGGAATACTAATGAGTGCATGAGAGAGTTCGATTATGTTTATCGCAAGTTTATATTTCGCTTTGTCATTTGTTTCGTGCTTATTCTGTCTTCGTCTTTAACAATTATATAACCCGGTCTATGCCGATAGGAATGGCTGGATCATTTGCAAGAAAAATATGAAGGAAATACACGTAAAAGTATAGAAGGTGCGTAGTTTTAGGCTTTTCATGTGCGCACGTCTTCCCCAGTGTGTTTTTACGAGACCAACATTAACATACTCGGGTAACAATGAGAAAATTGGTCGTTGATATTCGACTTTAAACTACTTGAAATTTTTAGACATCATTGAAGTAATTCCGAACAAAATTAAAATCGAATATAAATAAAATTCTGACACAGGCCTGAAAATCTCGCAGAATAGTATTTACGATTTTACATCATCTTTATTACGTTTTCTGTTCATAATTTAATTATGATTTCCTGCACTACGTGATTATGCTCGATAAAATGCCTAAGATTCATTTTTATGCAACATTTTAGAAATTGTCTTTATATCATTTAATAATAATCGTAACGAGAGTACAGTCGAGAAATATAATTGATAATTTTTCTGCAAATTTTCCAAGATAATTCACGAAGAAATAATATTCCTGGCGAATGTTAGCGACCATCCAAGTGAATAGTCAACCCAAGCGATTTGAAATAACCCGAGCACGTAATTTTTCTTTGCAGGCCTGCATCTCCCTGCCAGTCAGAATCTGCACGTCTGCACTAAATGTGGAAACATCTACGTGTATTACAGCTCGTTGACAAGACACATGAGGGAGGAATGTGGGAAACCGCCGAAATATCAATGCCTGTATTGTCCAAAGAAAACGAAGTTACATTGCAACCTGTTGAAGCACATGCGAACGAAGCACAGCTTTGAGCAAGGCTGAGAGCACCGGAAATGGACGGTGGGGGTGATGGTGACAGATTCGGAGAACCACACGGCAGAAACGAGACCAAAGCTGAATTCTAAATATATGAGATTGATAATCTTTCTATGACCACCTAAATCTATTAATCACTGACAGTGAATATTCACCATTTTCAGTGATAATCCAGTGATTGACTTTTAGAGAGTGCACTTCGCGTCAACCCTTTGGCAACCGCATAATCTTCGTAAGACGCGAATTGTAAAATAATGTAAATTTTTACGCGATCGCGTGAATATCGCAATGATATCACGAATGCCTTTGTAAATAAATGCTAGATTCTGATGTACATATATAAAACAGAGACGCACCATTACTCTTAAGCTTCAAGATGTTTAATTTTGTTCCACACGTTTGATTCAAGTGCCAAATAATATGTAAAAGGAGTGTCTCCATATTTTTAACCTACGAGATCTCCATCTTGAATGAAATGAATCAAGAGCTAACGATTATTTTTGCGATAAATAATGCCTTTTTTTTATACCGCTATATTTCATCATAGAGATACCAAACATACAATTTGTATTAATTGCCAAATTAAAGAGGTAAAAATATAAAAACAACTTTTTCTATTATGTTATTTTTAACGGTACTGGAAGCGGGATTATGTGAGCATAATAGTAACACGATATTATCGATTATCCAGATTTATTATATCGTTTTTATCATTCAAGTTGTTAACCTTATCCAATATGATCTACTAATGTGCTTTTAATTTAAAAGAATATTAGTTTGTTTCTTTGTAGAACACGCTTTATAAAGACACCCCCAATTAAACTTGCATAATCCCGCAACGATATGTAAAAAGAGTTTGAACGATCCGACAAAAACTAATTATTTCTTATTTGTGTCACTAACTCTGCGATCTACCTGTATACAATCTATGTATAATGAATCTATTGGTCAAACAAGAGAGATCAAATACAATTAGTTGAAAAGGATGTTATTTTTCGGTCGGACTGGATTTTAATAGCCTAATAATAATTTCTGTGTGAATTTTTCTTCAACCTAGTAAACTGCGCGTCGATTATTTGTCGGTCTGGAAACACAGTTTTGTCATAACGGTAAATCTACACACTTTAAATCGAATAATCTATTTTTATGCTAAGCATTATATTAAAATCACTCTGAAAAATATATCACGAAAAATATCATTTCAAAAGAAATCAAGTTATGTACATGGGTAACACAGGTAACACGAAAATTAATTGAGATCTGTTCACGCTTGTCCGAAAAACATTGATGTTTCTCACACGTCTTGATCAAATTCGCTGACGAACCTACGTGTTGCTTTCTTTTTCAGAGAGCAATACCTGTCTGGCCTGCTCAAAAACGTACAAGTGGAAGAAATCGCTGCACCGGCACGTGCGCGAGAGCCCAGAATGCTGGCCAATTCTCGTCACATCCGGCAACAGCGAGTGTATTCGTCAGATTCAGTATAAGATGATGTACAATACCAAGATTTAATTGGTATTGTATTGCGAATGTGTAATTTCAACTGTCGAACGAATGGTTTTCGACAGCACGAATTGTCTTGATTGTTATACTCGGAATATTTTTTTATAAAAATAAATCTCGTTTTAATGTGGCACGATTACGCTGTTGCTGTATTTTGTGTTTTGTCTGTAAATACATGAACACCGATAAGTCACCGTTTATTACCAAAATGGCATTTTTATTAATGCTCCTCTCCCCGCAAATTTGATTGATATATCACGAAAAAATAATTTGATAACAGTAGACGAATTATATATTTTATACGTATGTATATACGCATAGAATATATTCTATGAGGATAGTATTTTTAGGAGCTCTTAATTTTTATTAATCGTTAATTTATACCTCGTTATTACTTATTTCATCTCGATCGAAGATCTGAATTCGAAAGTGTGGTGTGCCATTGATCAAATTTGATTGATTTAATTTTTTTTCCGCCCACGTCATTCTTATGCGCAGTAATGCATGAAAGTGCAGAAATAACTTAAATTGTATCGTTTTTCCCAAGATTTTCCCGATTTTACGGGGCGAAACCACATAATTACCAAATGTTTCCTAATCCCAAATTGTTATACAAATAGAACAATGTGTATACCATTCTCTGTATCTCCCTGTGTAAGTGATACAACTATCATCTTAATGGACATGATTAATGTGTATTAAACGTCCATCAGGATGATAAGTAATGTAACAAACATGTATTAATGTTTTAGCGTTTTTAACATGTATCGTAATCAAATTAGATTTCTACCCTAAGCCTCCTTTAAGTTTTCAGCAAGACACGTGATCATAAAAACAAAATAAAGAAACAGGAAAACACTAGCGTCTTTCCAATTCCGCATCTTCTCTACGCTATCATCATTGTTTCCCGCCGAGACGTTATTATTAACGCGAAAATGTTTCACAGATTATTCGCCGAGCCCGGACTTTAACGCTTGGCAGATTATTAGGACGTATTCCTGCAGTGGATCTCCTTTCCTTATTCTAAATCTTTGGTTCAGCAGGGCCCGGGTCAACCGTTCTACCTCAGAAAACTCAGTTAGCTGACACCTACTGCACGTGTCCTACGATCGCCGTTCGCAGGTTATCAGAGCAAGCACTAAAACGTCCTCTGGGACATTTTGTTTCAGGTCGAGCTGTTGGGCCCGCCATCGTTGTCAGGAAGCCATTTCCTTGTATGTACTGCGAACGCAGTTACAAAAATAAGAGCTCGCTGAATCGCCACGTGCAATACGACTGCGGCAAGAGTACGAATTTGACATGTCCGATCTGCCAAGCAAGACTGTTAACGAAGAGAAGCCTGCCCAAGCACATGCTCCTCGAACACGGGATTCCATCGAGATAGAGAGATAGAAACAGACACGAAGTTAAAGAAAGATGATTCCTAGGTTTTCTTTCTCTAATGTTCTCTAATATTTGTCGAGTATCGACAGACCGAGTTCAGATCATGTTATTTACTTCATGCCATTAAATAAATAGACAATATTTTTGTCAATTTGTCGCCTTCACGGATACTCCGTAATTTATGTATAATGTGCATACATATGTATAGTTGCCGATATATACTTTTCTTACAGATACACGTATGCATGTATACGTGTATCAACATTATATACCGTATTGTATTATATAAATTTTCGAGTGTACATCGAAAAATAATCGTTTCTTCTTTCGATCTTGACTTGGTGGTTCGACGCGGGATCGTTCTATGTCGTCGCATCTTGTTCTTGGGTATCTTGTTTGGAGGGTTGGAAACTGGTGTCTTCTCACTCGAGGTGGAAAGGCTGGAGCATGAGGAGGGGCTGTAATTCACGGAAGTAAAGATCTGCCATCGATTTGATGGATATCTTGTCCGTGAGAATAGCTTCAATAGATATTTCAGAAAGAATACTCTTCATGGATTGAAATGTAATGAAGCCTCTCCTCTTATCCATCATTCCCGCCTCACGCAGTTTATTTCACGCCTCTTCACGCAGCCACGTTATCTTTTGGCGAAATTTGATCCTGGGCGCACTTATCTTCGGGCTATTGGCTGATACATTGTGTGTTGGGCAACTGGTTACGGGTTTAATCTCACTGATCTCTACCAATCGCATTGAAGCACACTTCGGAGAAATGTCTTTGGTCCCATCCATGTTCTTTATCATTCCTTATCCTTCTCGTGCATTTTGCCATCGTCCAGTGAATCGTTCGGCCACTTTTACGCTCTCCGAGTCAGATCATGCTCGTGGTAAAGCTTTTACGAAGAATATAATAGTTTGGTACTAGTTTGCAATTTTTAAGAATTCCCTATCGGAAACAACCGAACAAAATATACATCGAGTCTGCTTAATACAAGAAATCTGACACAATCTTGACAGAGTAGCGGAATAACTTTGCTGCATCGCAAGTATGATCTTGACCGAGGCGAATCACGATAATAACGACGTATTCGGCACGCGGAATCGGCGGAAGTCCACGTTATAATTCATCATACGAAGCCCACATTTCCCCCGATGCCGCGTGACGCTGCGAGGACCGCCGTGTAACCGCGCGGGACCAAGCGGGCGAGCGAGCCAGCAAGCTAACACTGTATTCTTCTCAAAGATTTAATCTCTTTACCACCTTCGCGCCCTCGCCGGCGCTGGGTCCCTGTTACAGGCACACTACTGACCCTGCTGCGTGCCGATCTTAAGCGGCAACAACCGTCGACGAAAAAGGGCTACCGTGCGTCCGCACCGACGATGATGACGCGGGCCAACATTGCCATGGCGAACAGACGTGCCAGCAACAGCAACGTTACCGGTGGTGACAACAGCTACGACGACAGCAGCGGCGGCGACAACAGCGGCGGCCGCGCCGCGTCTACCCGCGAGGTCGTATTTCCGGATTCGTTCGAGGTGCTACCGCGGCCGCACGACCTCAGCGTCGTCTTCATGGCCGGTGTGTCGCACGAGCAGCAGCGCAAGTTCCGCTGTCGTTTTTGCGGCAAAGGCTACCGGTGGAAGAGCACGATGCGTCGCCACGAGACGGTGGAGTGCGGCGGCAAACCGCCGGCCTTCCAGTGTCCGGAATGCCCGTACAAAGCGCGGCAACGCGGAAATCTGACCGTGCACTTTAAGCGGCACCATCAGAAGATGGGCTACGACGAAGGCTCTTCAGCGTCTTAAGCATCCCTTTAGGCAGGGATGAAGACACTCGCTCTGCATTGAACAGATGCGAGGTCCAAGCTCTTCGGGGGATCTTGAGAGCCCCTCGAATTCGCGGCTTTTTTCTTTGACCCTCTTTGAGCCGCAACATCGCGATTTAAACAACTGGATCGCAATTAACGTTTTAACTTGAACTTGAACTGTGGTTTGTAAAATTTAACTTCTATCTGTATTTAATTCTACGGTTAATTGTGTACTTTATTTAAATACTCATTTTGACTACTGACGTGATTTTAAGAGAACAACATGACATCTTACCGGTTTTGAAGTGAGATAAATGAATTAATTAGAAAAAATACTATTTTTAGCCTAAACTCTTGGTAGTCTAATAAGAGAAATAAGATCAATCATTCTGTATAATGAAATATCTAATGAAATATTTTTTATTTTGTAGTCAAATAGTTTGATTAATTATTTCTAAATGGTACTTTTTCCCTTTCCTCTTATTTTTATTTTAACATTCAACAATTGAACCTTTATCCGAGTGATATAAATTAACATGCAGAGGGTTAAAGTTAAAAAGCTGCGTATATTAAATCCAATGTAAAAATGTTCATTTTTTTCATATTTTACTGATGACAGAACTTGATAACATGATAATATGAAATATTGACTCGTCTTATAGATCTGCTAATATTTAACACCACTTTTATAAAATGAGAGATTTGAGACATACACATATCCGTTTTCTCATATTTACACGGAAAATAGTTTTGTAAAAAGACCTTTAAAAGTCTTGCAAAACTCGAACAAATATTTTTCGGATAAATATTGAATACTTGTTTAAACCGTCATACTTTTATACTAATTACACCTCAAATTACTAGAGGAGGTTTTTCCGTTTACCTCGCATTTTACATAGATTCGAAATTTGCATGATACATTTTACATTTACTAATACCCGTAATCTCATTTTTATTTAACGCCGCGATTAGCGCAAAACATGGCCGTCCAATCTTGAATCTTAACTTTTTATAACTTTCTTGTACGATAAGAAATGGACAGTCGTACTCAGAAATGCGCGGCGAGATTATGGGCCAAAGCGCTTCAATTTATTATTTGTAAGATATTGGGTTACTTAAGGAACTTAGAAGAGCGTTATTGGTTTAATTTTACTTGCTGGGGATTGGTGATAAATTGTAGTTAATAGCTCGCGTAACTCTGCTGCTTTGATTTGTAAGCTCACGTGATCACAGTTTTACTGTGCACGGCGTAAATAATTTGTCATCTAGAATCTATCGCTACGCTATAATATCGCCGCAGTTGTTTTGCACAAGACTTATAGTGCGAGGAAAAAATGATAATATTAATATTCTCACCTATTTATCAAGATTTGCGTAAGATTACATGCAGTGTGTGTATAACATTATGTTCGCTTTAACAGGAACATTTTGAATTTCTAGTTTCTGCCTTCGAAAATAGCACATTTAATCCCTATTTATTTGTTTTATGTGAACATATTCTTTAAATTATTCTATAATTTTATATAGAGTGACTTACGAAACGCGTAACGTTAATCAAATTGTATTACTGTAATCGTATTACATGAATCTTCTTGACAATTTGAACAAAGATATCTATAGCAAAATCATATTCGTAGATTCATAGATTTGTACAAATGATATTGAAGAGACATTTTTATCAATTGCTTTCTTCAAATCAGTATTTATTATATGAATATACGTTTATTTAATATATTACATAAACATATAATTTCTGAAAATATATACACGAACTTTATTAATTATATATATAATATCAAAAGTTTTATACCTACGCGACGGCGTCCCTTTTGTTACATTAGACCACTGGACCGGCGCGTCGTGGCATAGATCTGTTTTTCACGCCGCTCGAAGATTTGAGCTCTGTGGCTCGTGAGTCACTTATATTATTTTACTATCCATTAGACACGCATACACACACCACATACTCTCTAAAAAACATATACATACATACGAGGGTGGGTCGAAAAGTTTTGAGCCTTAACATGAAGATGACATTACTTGTCGTCGCCACTTCAGTACTGCGACTGTACATGCTTTGAAGGATACCTCTGAAAATTTCAGCCATTTTTTGCCGTGATTAAATACTTGCATTTAAAAAGCAATACGCCTGAGCAAATTAAAGCAGAGTTGAACGTTGTTTACGGAGACTCTGCTCCATCATTTGCCACCGTGAAAAGATGGGCGGCTGAGGTTAAACGTGGTCGTACCAGCTTGACTGACGATGAGCGTTTGGGGCGACCAACAACCGCGACCACCACCAAGAACATTGAAAAAATCGTTCATCGACTATCTTGGAAAAAGTAAAACAATCAGGGAGAGTAAGACACTCAGAGACAGAGTACCCAACGAGACGATGAGGAAAAGCTGCGATGTTCCAGACATCGTCAGGTGGGAAGACGTGAATGAAACGATCATGTATCCAAAATGGGAGAAGAGAGAATAGCAAGAACAGCAAGAGATAGGAACACCAACATCCAGAAGACCCCCAGGAAGACCCCCAAAGAGATGGATGGACAGTTGGACATCACAAGAGAAGAATTAATCGAAAAAACAGGCTTCAAGCGTAATTTAAGAGGAAGAAGAAGAAGAAGAAGAAGAGAAGAATCACGGGGAACTACTACGTATCATTACTTGACTAGTTGAAGGCAGAAATTGCAAAAAAAGGCCGCATTTGAGCAAGAAGAAAGTGTTGTTTCATCAAGACAACGCACCGTCTCACACTACAGCTGTCGCCATGGCCAAAATTCATGAATTGCAGTTCTAACTGATTGACCACCTTCCATATTCGCCAGATCTAGCCCCCAGTGATTTTTTTCCCGTTTCTTAAACTCAAAGTTTGGCTCGGAGAACAGAAATTTTCATCGAACGAGGGGGTCATAGCATCCGTAGATGCCTATTTTGTAGAGTAGACGCCAACTATTTTTTGGACGGGTTAAAGCGGTTGGAGCATCGCTGGATTAAGTGTATCGACTTAAAAGAAGACTATGTCGAAAAATAAAAGTGAGCTTGGCCGAAATAAAATTGTTTCTGTGTTAGGCTCAAAACTTTTCAACCCACCCTCGTACTACATATTTCTTGTTTGCTATTCTTAAGAAACAAGTGAGAATATCTTTATTATCACTTTATCGCATTGTATGGCAATGTCACCAAAGAAATCTCACGACTAAAGCATTCCGAGATGTGTTTCTCAAAAATCGCAAGTACATTCCAATAAGTAGCAAATTGTATTTCGAATTATATATAGCTCGAATATTTAAAATTAGAAAATTTCGTACTTCGTTTTTTTCCCTTTCTTTTACGTGCATAAGAAAATTCAAAGAATATTTCTATAAATCTCAAGCGATTTTTTTTCTATAAATTTTGATAGTTATATTATAATGTAATTATTCGATGCATTTCGCATGAAATGCGATGCATGGAATACGATGAGATTTGAAAAAAATATGATCGTGAAGCAAAGTTGATACATAATATTAAAAGTACATAAAACTGGAAACGATCCGTCGGTGAAATTTACATTTTTAATAATCTAATATCGAACAAATATAGCGTGTCTTGTCAGTATTTTTACGTACTGCGAGACATGTAGCTCACGATTCATCTAAGCAAATGATTTGAGATTTTACTTAATACCTTCTTCTTAAGTACCGGAGAAAGAAACTAGTTCGAGACTTCCAATCTGGTTCTCATAATATGATTATCATCCGTCATCCATTCGAAAGAAAACAGAGGATTTTCGAAGTGCCTTCGACGAGAAATCGACAAATGGAGATGCAAATCATATTCGTGCATTTGTTACTGGTGGTGTTTGCGAAACAATCTTCAGAAGATCGGTTACCTGAGAGCATTTAGGCGCTTATGATAGACAATAATTATCTGTTATTCCAGATAACTTGCCCGTGACCGCGAATACGGACGTGAGAATGAATTTTTTCGCACACCTTACATAGCAGAGAGACCAATGTTATTTCGTTGATCATTGTTAACATTTTTAATAGGATGGCGTGTATATGTTGGCGATAGATTAGAAAGATTCAATTTTACCAAAATATCCTTACATAATATATTTATGCAATGTAAAGAGTAATTCAGCAAATGCGACAGAAAGATTTACGTTACGTATCCCATAAAGTACAAAGATCCGTATTTCGCAATCGCTTCGCGCGTATCTCGAGTCCAGGCTAAGCATACGAGTGCGAACAAGCACGAACGAATAATTAGTTTCACCGAAGGCATGCCGGTCTTTGCGATTGAAGCGATTTGTTCGTTCGGCTCGTTTGTGTCTCGTCCAGCAGTAGACAGCGCAAAGGAAGATTTAGTAACACACTCGACTTCGAACTCGGAGAATATGATCAACGCATTGTATAATGTTAAAGATCACTTGTACGTTTATGCGAATTTACGAGCGCAGCCTGAAAGAAAGAAGTCGATCGCGCGAACAGGTTGATCTTGCGATCCTAAGGATTGTTGTCCGTGTGCCTCTATTTAATATGTGTATATTCTCTTTACGCAGCAATGATTTCTATATTTACATTTTACTTTCACTCCTTCCGCATTTTCACTACTATTTAATATACTATTTAATTCACACAACTTTCCAATACAAATGGATGGGATCGACCTGGTTGTCGTGCGGCGCGGGACCATACTCATAGATTTATATGGAAGAG